TTTGTGTAGGGCTTACACACCCCGCGTAATACTTTACTCATTTAGGGCTTACACACCCCGCGTAATACTTTACTCATTTAGGGCTTACACACCCCGCGTAATACTTTATTCGTTTAGGGCTTACACACCCCGTATAATACTTTATCCATGTAGGGCTTACACACCCCGCGTAGTATCCTTTATTCGTTAGGGCTTACACACCCCGCGTAATACTTTATTCGTGTAGGGCTTACACACCCCGCGTAATATTCTTTATCTCATTAGGGCTTACACACCCCGCGTAATATTTTGTTCTTGTAGGGCTTACACACCCCGTATATAACCTCGTATACTCATTATATACGAACAATCATAATCTATCAACCTCGGGCTAGTCTTCATCAAGACTCCCCGGGCTGCCTTCATATAGTCTAGGTAGACTCCACCATTTCCTTTGAGTGTGACCATAGTCCATCACTCATTCTAAGTTCATGCCTATCTAATTCAATACTATAGATAGCACATACAATTAATCACTACGGATTCATATCACTTTGATCATGTAAATAACTCAAGCATTCCTTACTTCGCATTTAATCATTTTGCCTATCCACATAGGTATCCATATATCCCTTTTAAGATCTTATGGAATCACACATTTATCAACATTTGTCTATATCATGTTAATCCTCTATATCAATCCAATAATTAATATATTTCAAGGATTTCTCCCCTCATGCATAATGCCTTTGCTTATCCACCTTAGTAATATCATGTATCAATTTGTATGACCACATAGCAACACATTTATTCACATTGGAGTATATCATTTAATTCCATCAAAATCATAATTTAATTACTTAGGTAATCTCATGCTCAACTCACGAGTTATAGACAATATAGTCAGCCATCCTCACCTTATATATGTCCAGGAAGGTTGCCTATTGAAGCCCCGTCGTTAAACCTTCGATCGGGAATGATTTGAATCAATCTTGGCTGGCAGAGGGCAAAAGCCGCCCGGCTTTGGCAAAAGCTGCCCGGCTTTCGGGTTCTGCTGCACGAAAACAGCACCTAGAAGTAGCGGTTTCCGGCGATTTCGATTCCTATCGATTCAACAACTCTTCTAAGTTAATTACCAACTCTTTATATCATATTTCCACACTTTTAAACGTGTAGAACATCCCCTAGAATCCATCATATGATTTCTACAAAATCATATACGAAAACTATATAAAAAGGAAGAACAAGAACCGGAGCTACGAGATTCTTACCGCTAGGCTTCGTTTTCTCTTGGATTCTCTTCTCTCCTTCACTCTCCTCTGTTCCTGAGCTCTTGTGTGGGTAGAGAACGCTCCAAGCACTCCCCTCCTCTCTATGGCTCACGTAAAACATCCCCAAATGAGGGGATAAGGAAACTCCCCTCTCTTATCTTCTATTTTTAGAAGGTTGGGCCGATTTAGTTTGGGTTCGGTTCACGGGCTACTTTCTTTAATTAATCCGTCCCGAAGCTATTTACAAATTTATCCTCCCGTGGATTATGGTCTACACTTTATACGGAATACCCCGAATTAAAGTGTAGGAAACTCTTCACCCTCATACTCCCTATTTTCGGTAAGTTGGGGAAAGAACGCCACTTTGGTTATTTGATATATCTCGGTTGGACCTAAATGACTTTTATTCATTTATTTATATTATTTTAGGTCGGTCCTAAAATGTATTGGATGGTCCTCTCCAATATTCGGGCTCATACCCAATTATGTTTCATTTATTAGTAAGTGGACTCAAATAGTCTCTCGTCTTATTTCTTTACCTTTTATTCGGCCCAAACAATTATATTTTACATAGTCCCTTATCTTTGGGCTTTTATTTAATTTATCATGGTCCAAGAATATATATTAGTTTGTCCCTCCCCATGTTTGGGGTCCGACTCACAATTTATTTAATCGGTATCAATTTAATCAATTAATCATTTCTAGTATGATCGATATACTTGTAACTAGTTTTCAAAGTGAATATATATTCATGACATTAACTAGTTATCCTTATCGAATTTAGTATATGTACTATTATTCTAATTTTTTAATAATAATGGATTAATAAATCCAAGTTTTAATTGGGAGCGGTGTCATATGTGTAATCGTGTGCTTTGAATTGTGAAATAAAAAATAGGAATGTCAAATGTTATTTGTGGATTTTTTAAAATATTAATATGAATTATATGAATTAAAATAAAGTAGTGATCATTTTTATTTTTTATTTGGTAATTGTAGTAGGTATGGTTACTCAATCTACTTCCAAATAGGCAAAAATCACACTGTGTTCGTTTTATAAGCTGGTACAAGCACACAAAGTAGACGAGTTAAATGTCTCAATTGAAACTCCTAATATCTCATCCGCTCAAGAGAAGTAGTTTCGGATGCACTTGGAATTGAGTGAAGAGTTGGTCAAATCTGGAAAGGGAGAGCACTTCAAAATGGTTACAAGATTAATTCATCTTGTATTGACTTTACCTGTTTCAACTGCGACAACGGAAAGATCATTTTCTGCAATGAAACACGTTAAGAATGAAATTCGTAACAAGATGAAAGATGAATTTCTTGTCGATCGCTTGACCATCTTTATTGAAAAGAATTTGCCAACAAAATCGACGTTGAGTCTGTCATAGATGAGTTTGCTAAGATCAATGAGTGTCGTGTTCAGTTAACGTTTTAGTTTCAAACATTGTACGTACTGTTTAAATATATTATATTACTACGAATTTTAATGGATTTTAATCATTGTGTTCACACTATTGTTGTTTTTAAAAATTTTATATAATGTTTTTAGTGTATAGTCGGCCCAGGGTAAGCATCGGTCCTGGCTACGCCCCTGAACGCGCCCCCTCCCCCGACACAAACATCTTCATCTAAAGGAAAATCAATTTTTAAATCTACATTTGCCAATCTTATGAAAAAAGCTAAAACAACTCCCGCTACTCAACAAAGCACAATTAATGAGATTGCTTTGTATTTAACTTATGACGTTGATTTTGAAGAAGAAGATGAATTTGACATTCTAAACTGGTGGAAGGGAAAAGAAAGAATGTTCCCGGTTTTAGCAAAGATGGCTAAGCAAGTGCTATCAATGCCGGTTTCAACAGATGCCGTGGAACAAGAATTTAGTTCGGCTGACAACGTCCTTACGCAATCTAGAACGAGCTTGAACGCAGAATCTCTTGAGACGCTTGTATGCTACCACAATCGGTTGAAGGCGGCCCGTAGAGCTCAAGAAATGAGCATCACCCCCTCCCAACACTTTATGGATAAACCAACAACCGAGGGTGGCTCTACCTATGCCGGAGATTCCGATTGATTAATATTTGAATTTTTTTTATAAAATGTATTTCATATTTGAGATTCCGATTGTATTTCATGTTTTTAATTCTTCAATTCTCAATTGTAATTTGTAAACTTGTAGTTCATATTTCAAATAAATATACGTTAATTTTTTATATGTAGCACTTCTCAAATTAATTAATTGATTATTAATTATATTATTATTTATTAGAAAATGTATTTCATATTGTTTTTTTTCTCATTCTCAAATGTAGTTCCTATTTCAAATAAATGCACTTGAAGTTTGTTTTTAATATTCATCACTTGTATGAATAAGTAGCAAAATAGGGGGGGATTATATCTGACCCAACCCGGCCTGTGACCCGGGCGGGTGGCCCGGCCCGAATCGCGGAACCGGAACAGGCCAAGGGACGGGCCGGTCTCGGGCCCACGTTTTCGGAACCGGCGGCCCGACCGGGCCCGGCCCTACCCGAGTCCAGCACTATATTTAACTAACAATGTAAGTTGCCACCTCAGTTAATTTCTTCGGTATTAGTTGAACAAACGGATTGTTGAATGCGTATGAGCTTTGACATTCCCTCGGCTACTTGCCCCACTTTTCCAACCAAACTTCTTACAGTTCTTTCCTTCTTTCTCTTTCTCTTTCAATTTCATCCAAAAATCAATCCACCTTCCTTCTTTCCTTCACCGGTTCTCACCCAAAATCCAACTCCTCAATTAGTAATTCCCCACACCAAACCAACCAACCCATCCATTTCCTCTCTACCTCTCTTGTAATCATTAACACAAATAAATTGTTCACAGAAGAAGGGGAAAGAAGCAGCTGAAGAACTCCACAACTCATCCCAATGGAGCAACGGCCCTTACTAATTGATGGGTTTCAGGATGCTTCCTGTTTCACTACTTCCCAAAACAGAGTGCCCTCTTCCTCCTCAGATTACCATCAGATTGTTATGAATGATGATGACGATGGGGAAGAGGAAGATGATGATGGGTTGTTGGGTGATTGTGGGTACTCAAGACCCTTTTTTATTATTGATGTAATATGGAATATGGCATTTGTTTTGGTGTCCATTTTTATGCTGTTGAGCACCATAGGAGAGAGTCCATCTGCACCCTTAAGGCTCTGGATTGGTGGGTATGCCCTACAGTGTCTCCTGCATGTGGGTTTTGTGTGGGTTGAGTACCAGAGGGTGGTGGTGGTGAGATTTCATGGTCTTCATTCTCATGCCCTCTCCATATTTAATCTCTGTCACTCCAGGTACTTTCCCATTTAACCCCTCTTTTAGCTAGGGAATCTTTTGATGATGATAATGATGAATGGTTGATGTATATATGCCACTTTGGTAAACTCTTTTTTTGGCTTAGGTTTTTAATTCACAGAGACTGAGGTTACTTTTGTGTATAGTTCTTTTAAAAAGACCATTTTTAGCTTCTCTTTTCATACTCCAGAATACTCCATAATGTTATCCCCTAAATTTTGTGCCCACTTTCTTTCAAAAACTATTACAGTATGATAGGGACATAGACTTCCAAGATTAATAATAATAGTAGAATTAGACTAAGGGGTGTGATATTGTATAAATAAGGGTTTGGGCTAGGTGGTAGTTAGCTTGGGCCGGCCCATAAGGGAATTGATTATAAATAAGAGGGGAGTAGAATAAGGAGGTTAGGCAGAACTTGGATCTGAACTGGGACCTGGGAGAGACAGAGGGCACTGTCGAATTTGCCTTCAACTGTATCGTTTCTTTTCACTTCTTCTATTTCAGTGTTCATTTTCAACAATTCATCGCCATATTTGCCTGTACCATATCATTGGTATCAGAGCAGTCGAACCAGGGAAGCTTCGATCAACAGTCACACGATAAAAAAACGGAGCGCAGGGAACATCGACGGTCAGAGAGGAAGGTGGCCGCCTCTGCTTTGCGCGCGGACATGGAGAAGCGCGAGATGCACGCGTCTGCGGAAAAGGGGAAGGAACAACATCGAAGATCCGATCAGCGTGCTTCGCTCGGAAAAGAGGAGAAGCTGTGGGAAAAGGTTGAAAGTGATTGGGCTAAGGAGATGCGCCATATGTTGGGCAAAATTCGTCACAGAATCAAGCGACATAGAGACCGAGCGAGGAGTCCTCCTAGACACCGTCGGCCGATTGAAAATAATCAGGTTTCTTCTTCCGTCGCTCTTCCTGGTTCGCAATCGCAGACATCTTCGCGATCTTCATCTCACAGTTCGCAGCAACGAACTTCGTCTCACAGTTCGAAATCCCTAACTTCACCTTCTCGTTCGCGGACTTCATCTCTGGCTTCGCCCAGTTCGCAGTCGCTAACAGCGTCTTCTCCCAATTTGTTGCAATCTGTTTCTTCTCACCAATCTTCCTCGCCAGTAGTTTCATCCTGTTGGCCAGCTTCTCAGCGAACTATAACTTCTCAGATTTCATCGCCAACAGATCTCCGGGCTTTGCAGGTTTCATCGCATGCTTCTTCTAACAGTGTTCAAGTTTCATCTCCCACAATGAACTCTAAGTTGAGGCCGGCTGAACCATCAATCACGGAACCTGGCCCAAAGGATGATACGACTCAAACTACAGGATATCTGCCAAAGTATCCAGAATATTTGAAACAGCCTGATAGGGATGAAAATGGAATTCGTTTGGGAAAAGTGAAAGAGCAATTGCCAAGGCAACTAGAGGATCAGTCTCAACTCTTTCTAGTAGGGATAGGAATTGGTGCATTATCAACTACAACTATGTTGCTGAAACCGGGGCAGGCTGTTTCTAGAGCCCCTAATGGGGATGATTCCAATCAACGAGGCGCTGATGGTACTAGAAATTCTACCACCAGGGGTGTGGAGGTTAAGGAACTGCCTAGTAGGACTATGTTGGGAGTTACGCTCCGTCATAGTTCAACAGGTGAAGTGGCAAACGGAATTGAAGTTTTATTTAGCTCAATGTCTCCTGATAAGCAGAAGCAGATTCAGGTCGAGGAGAATGCTGGTGTTCACGGTATAAATACAAATTCTGCTACTGGGAAGTATGGAATTACTCAAAACTTTGCATCTCAAGAGACTAAAGCAACTATACCATTCAGAAAGTTTTTGGTGGTTGAGCATAGCCTTCTAATTGATGAGGTCCGTACTTTAATAGATTCTGGCCCGGATGGGAGAGGAAGCAAGGGTTCTAGACTTTGCCTTGCTAATCTGGTTACGCCCTCGCTGGGTTTTCAGCCTATAGGGGAAAGGAAAGGAGAAAATTTCTCAGATTTGGGACTTTGGCAGTTAGATAATCTGAAATCGCATGACAGCACTGTTGTGCACAACTGCTGGCGGCTGTTGAAGTTTTATGAGACAAAGCCTGCTATTACAAATCATTCTATCATTGACACTAGCTGCTGTACAGAAAAGTGGATGAAAAATGGAGAACTTTGCATAGGGCTTGTTGCAGGCAATGAGTTGAGTAATTCGAATAACATTAAAACTGCATCCAACACATTAATAATCTCAGAAGTTATAATCCTTGAGGAGTCTCATGAAAACAGGGAAACACGTGTAGCTAGTGAGTGTTTGAAGTCTACTGCAACAAATGAAACTGCACTCGACATATATTCTGTAGCAACACCATTTGTGATTTTGAAAGAACGAGTACTGAAGCTTCTGGTTCAGCAATCCAGGAGATATTGGGAAGGAAGAGGCTCCAGGATGAAGATGAAGTTTAAGATCAAGGCTGTGTCCTATCACCCACCTTGAGGACAAGGTGGTTTTTCAAGGGGGGAGATATGATAGGGACATAGACTTCCAAGATTAATAATAATAGTAGAATTAGACTAAGGGGTGTGATATTGTATAAATAAGGGTTTGGGCTAGGTGGTAGTTAGCTTGGGCCGGCCCATAAGGGAATTGATTATAAATAAGAGGGGAGTAGAATAAGGAGGTTAGGCAGAACTTGGATCTGAACTGGGACCTGGGAGAGACCGAGGGCACTCTCGAATTTGCCTTCAACTGTATCGTTTCTTTTCACTTCTTCTATTTCAGTGTTCATTTTCAACAATTCATCGCCATATTTGCCTGTACCTATCACAGTACTTTTGCCATCTTTCTTCTAAAAAGTTTGACTTTCTAATAAATTTGTGGTGAATAATTTTTTCATTTATTATCATAATATTATTTCCATGTTTCTTCTAAAATGTTTGGCTTTCTTTTTAAGTACTCTGTAATAAATTTGTGGTGAATATTATTTCCATTTATTATCATAAATTCAATGAGATGGTTTTTACTTATACGTGGCTCTGTCTCTGTGGGATAACATGTCATTCAAACTTGCAAGTTTATGGGATGAAAGCAGTGATCGTTTCTTTAAGACTCTACTAATAAAGTACTACCTTCTTTCCGGTTTAAACTTATTCATTAAAAAATGACACAATTATTTAGATAGTATTATTGAAGTATATTTTGAGAAATAATTTTGTTGAATATATAAATAATGCGGTCATTGATGATGATTTTGATGTTATAGATGTATTCTTTTGAATTGTTGACGGTTAAGTTGTCATTTAAGAGTATTATGTTCTAAAGTAAAAATGAGAACCTCTAACTAGTAACTAGTACTCTCAAAAGATGTAAGTGAGAAGTTTAAGATGGGATAGAGAGAGGATATCTTATATAATTCATTTCATAGTTCTGAATTCAACCAGTTTTACTCCTACCAAACAAGCTAGATGTTCTTCCTAGAATAGATTGAAAATTAGAAACGTAATAGGAAGTCTGCTTATTTCGACTTTCTATACCCTTGAGATTGTATTTTCTTCTCCTTTCTGGAGGATGGTTTCTATTGAGGTGCAGGTTTTGAACAATTCTTCTATCACTTCAAATTAATGCTTGCAACACTAATGAACTCATGATTAGGTCACTGTGGATCAACTACACTATAATGCATATGGGTAAAATAACACTAAAAGATTGAATCAAATCCCTTACATATCTGCTGTCTCAAGACCTTATAAACCCACAAGGTTCTCTTTAATATTTTGATGAGAGACTCCTAACACAAACATGTGTGAACGTACCCTGACTCTTTATCAAACCAGATTTAAGCTTCAACTTTTTTTTCCTTTTTTTGGGGTGAGGGGGTCAGTATCATGCAGAGTTTGGTGGCAATTAATACAGTGATATCATCAATCTGGTGGGTTTTTGGTTTGTATTGGATTATCATGGGTGGCCAAGCACTTCTGCAAGATTCTCCCCATCTTTACTGGTATAAACATTGCTCTTAGACTCGCCTTTTTTCTCTCTTCAAAAAACCATCTTGGCATTGACAGCACTTATAACCCAAATTCAAATTTGCAGGTTATCTGTGACTTTTTTGGCATTTGATGTGTTCTTTGTGATCTTTTGCATCACAATGGTATTCATGCTTTTCTTTGCATTCTTCTGTTGCGTTCCGATTCTCGCAGCAGTTGCCTATGCAATGAAACTGCGAGAGGGAGCATCTGAAAATGACATCATGACTCTTCCCAAGTACTCGTATGTCCACTCCAGTAATGCTAATAGTAGCATTTCAAGATTCTCATATGATGATAACATGACATTGGAAGAAGGCTCGTCCACACCCGTCCTTTCTCTTAATCTGGAGGACTCTGTGAGCATCGATCTCTTACCATATTTCTTCCATTTTAAATTATAGGAGTTAATAAATAATGGATGATAATATGATTTTTATACTGACCACATGGTGAAGGTGACTTCTTCCATTTCAGTTTTACACTGTGGTGACTGATGATATTTTCACTGACCGTGTAGTAATATTTTTGCCAATAGTAAGAAAATACTCAATAATAAATTCACCCTGAATAATGAAAAATAAAATGTTTTTCTCTATTTCGCACTCTCACATGGTGAAGGTGACTTCTTTCAGGAGTGTAGTATTTGCTTGAATAGGTATAGTGAAGGAGTGGAGCTGTGTAGGCTTCCGTGTAACCACCATTTCCACCACGGCTGTGTTTGCAAATGGCTGCGGATTAATGCAACCTGCCCTCTCTGCAAATTTAACATCCTCAGGAAAGAAACATTGGTGTAATTAATATGTTTTCCCCGGATGGCCTATGTACAGGAAATTAAAATGAGTATACCCCTTCCCTTAACTTCTAAGATGAGAAGGGAATGAGGATCAAGTGATGCAGTCATTCTGCTCTAAATTGAAAAAAATGTAAAGATCATTGTTATAAATTTGATATACATACCATCATTGTGTAACATCAGTAAATTCGCCTCATCTTCAGCTCTTAGTACATTGCTTTCTTGGCCTTATTTTAGTGTGATATACTCACCAATGTCATTTTAACCAATCATTCCAGGTATTTCCAGCTCAGCTGGTTGTGAGATACCGTGCCTAGTGGGAGGTCTCGAGTTCGAAACCCGCTAGGCACGTAAGGGTTCGAAACTCAATGGAATGAGTTTCAGCCTTGATTACTCCAGGCCCCCTCCCCCCAAACTGGCCAAACCCCCATCTGGAGTTAAAAAAATGTCATATACTCCCTCCGCCCCAGAAACAAGTTCTCACTTTCCTTATTTGGATGTCCCAAAATAAACTTCTCACTTCCTTATTTAGCAAATTATCTACATCAAAACAGTGCCAAACAGTGTCGAAACAGTAAAATTTACCCATCAGTAAATTTATTTCCTAAAAATGTGTGAAGGTCAACACGGGAACTTGTTTCCGGGACGGAGGGAGTATTATTCACCATATTCCAATTGTGTACACACTCCGCACCATCCGAACCTCCTCCGTTCTTGCCCGTGTGGATTCAAATTGTAGGAGTTGTGTGATTTCTACCATGAGAGGTTGCATTTAATTTTTTGTGACAAAAATCATTATCATGCTTTGGTAGAACTCGGATTGTCATCGTGAAGGTCAAAGTGAAAAAGGAGTTCAATTCACCATTGTTATTCACTTGAGCTCTAAACCCGTGGCCGTGGGAGTATCATACATTCATGTATGTTATGTGAAACTTTGTTTAAAATGGTTTTTTAGTCGCAAGTACTAAGTAGATTCTATTTAAATAGTATAGAGTAAATTGGAAATATAGAATGAAGATAGATGTGCAAGAAATAAACTCTCAGCACTTGTTTGGGAGGGATGAGTGTTTTTAGTTTAACTAATTAGCATTGTATTTTGGTCTTATACTAGGAATAACTACACACATGCTTAAAGCATGTGTGTAAATGCTTAGTTCAATGATGTATTTTATGAGTCTTCAGCCTCACTTTTTTTTTTCCAAATATCTAAATCTATGAATAAATTACCATCACATCTCCCTTTATTAAAATCCTCCAATGGTGTTTTTGTAGTATGTGATACTTACAAACATGTCTATTATAGAGCATGGTGGCTGGAACAAGCTCCTCTGTCGATGTCTTATAGCCTTATAGGTAGGGTGTCTCAATGTTTGTGACTTGTTTACAAATTGGATAATAGACTAATAATAGAAAATGTTTTTTATTGGATAAAGGACTAATAATTAAAAATGTTTTTTATTGGAATGGACTAATAAAAAAATGTATTTTTATTGGATAATGGAGTAATAAAAAAGTGTTTTTTTAATGGATAATGGACTAATAGTTGCCAATCCGACGATAATGGTGTGCCAGGCGGAGGAATATTATGAACTAATGGATAATGGACGACTCTATCTAGATTTATTGTTGTTGTTAAAATTGCAATTTAAATTGTAAAGGTGTACAATTTTACAATTTTTCACCAACTAATTGATTCACAATTCATATCGTTTGTGAAACCATAAATTCATAAAATTGTAAGTGTCATAGAACCATCTAAAATAGTGAAGAACCTATCAACCTAATAAAATAGTAACCTAGAAAATTAAAGTATCGATACTATCAATTAAATGTACTGAAAATAACTTTCAATTAAATGTCCTAAAAATAATGATTATCATCACTTCAATGCCGCAAAGGCTCCCACAATTGATGGGGTAAGGGTATTGAAAATAATGATATTGATAATGATTTGAGATAACTATTCATTCATCTTTTCAATTTATTAAGATTATTAGGGACTTTATTACACACATAAGTTTTGATTTTGTCGAAATGATGTATAACTCATACTTTTGAAATGATTATTCATAATTCTAACTATTTGACCGAATATGTAACACAAGTAATATGAAATTACTTGCTGTGTAGAAATCTAGGCAAAATTTACTCTAACGCATTTAAAAAACGTCTCGGTATTTTCTATCCAAATAAGGATAATAATAGCCAATGCTAGCGGGGGCGGTTTCTGAAATTTTGAATGGATGTGATCGAGCTATTCTTTGGTGGGTTTGTTGAAAAAGGACATTAGAGGCTTGATGAAATCTTTTTCGACTCATTTCATGTTGTCATATTAAGCGGTCAGTGAATAAGTCAGCCTATTTGTTAGCTAGAGCAATTTATTCTTTGTCTGATTCGCAGTCTTGGATTTATTCTCCTCCTTTTATTGTATCAACTTTAACCAACGATTTGATTAATGATAATTAAGTCTATTTCTTTCAAAAAATAATAATCAATGTAGCATTGATAGATTCACAAATCATAAGTAGTAGCACCCGCCCCCTATGTTAACTCCAATAATTATATTCCTGCTAGGAGTGCTAGCCTATTTCGTACAGTATTTAACATTGTCTAACCTGATAATATGCAAAAGACATTTCTTTCATACATGGAATAAAAAGATTAAAAGAAGAGAAGATACGTGTGAAATCTAAGATCTGCTCACATAACCGCCCTCAAGTTACTTGACTTATCAAATTGCGATTAATAATTAATACTTGTAATATACTTTTAAAAGCCTTATTGTTTATTCATATAAATAATTTCATATTTATAGTTAAAATAAATGTTGTTTAAAGTGTTTCATCCTAAGTATACCGATAAAACAGTGACATTGGTGCATGTTTAGGATGTTTTCTTTTGGTGTTTTCACTTCCAGAACAGACCTGGACCAGACCAAATCAGAACAAACCGGACTTTCTTAGTTATAAAATACACAGAGATCAAACGTTTACCTGACCAGACCAAACTAGTAAATTTCAGTCCAAAAGAAAACATCATTTGTAGGTATAAGTCCTTCTAGCTTTTGTAGTATTTCAAAAGTCTCTGAAATTTTTAGTTGTATGTTTCGCATAACAATGTTTAACAATTTTTCTGTAAAAAAGAAAGGATTCTTTTGAGTATCTTTCCTTTTATCAAACATGTATAATCATTTTCTCTTAGGATCTTTCATTCACTTGAAACTAACAACTACTCACAATCCATGACTAAAACTTAAATTCAATTTTACACCTAAATGACTAAAACACTATGATATTTTCCATATGTAGTACTTTAATCATACTTTTATAAATAAGTTTTGTTTGAGTAATATTTCTGAAAATCTCCTTATTCAAATTCGTATGCAACAACAAAAATTGATTTTGACAACCAGCCCTATTGTGCACTTAAGAATTCTAATATGGAGTAAGTTTGAGGAGCCCTTCTTTATGTTGGAACCACAAATTACTACGTAGTATAAGAGTTTGACATAGTGGATTCTGTATAGACGCCCATTTATGAAGTGCAGAAGTCGTTCACAATGACGTTTTACAAATTCGGATTTGGCATTATCAGGATGCGTTTGCGTGCAATGGATTTCATATGAACCCTACTTTCGGCTTAAGCCGTCAAAAATATTGTGTGCGGGCCACATTCGAGCAGGATTAATTGTTACTTTTGCTAATTCAGTAATTTGTACACATTGTTTGCCCATTTTACACATTGTTGAATTATCCGTAGGTAGATCGTTTTTTCATTTTTGAGAAGAATTGCTTTCCAGACAATTTCTGCCAACAACAAAAAATAAAATAAAAAACGTGAATGTGTAGTATATTACTGCATTCATTCCCTGATTCGTCTCATTTTACCTTTTTCATTCTTATTATATTTACACTTTATCGATTCAATGTCAATCACACAAATCCATTACTCCTAAAAATCGTATTGCATCCTCTTGTTCCAATCTTAGTGGGCGGAGGTAGTAATTTTTTATTATATTCTAATTTGGTTTTGTGACGTTATATACTTCGTAACTTTTAAGATAGTTTTTGAATATATAATTTTTAACTATTAAAACCTATATAACTATTTGTATGGATGATTTACATTATCTTCTGTTAACTTTAAAAATTATAAATCGTAAATCAATTCGGGATGGAGGAACTATTTAACTTTTAACTCTTTAGGATGAAGTAGACCGTACACTTCAAAATCAACCATCAAAGTGGACTTAACACTACTCTCACGGCGCGTTTGGTTAATATTGAGAATGTGTTTGATTTGCGTCTCACTTGTATTTGTTGAAATTACGTGAATATCACATTAACGTTAGGGCTGGACTCGGTTCGGGCCGGGCCCGGTTCGGGCCTTGAACCGGCCGGGCCTCGGTTCACCAAAAGGAGGGCCCGGGCCCGAACCGGCGGTGACCGGTTCCGGGCCGGTTCCGGGCCAGACCGGGCCGGTTCACCCACCCTTTTTTTTTTATTTTTTGGCTTCTCTTATTTAACCCCCTAGCCCTCCCCCTCAACCCCAAACCATCCAAATGGCCCAAAATACCTAATCCAACCCAAAATTAAAAAAAATTAAAAAAAAAATAATAATAAAATATTCCGGCCCGGACCAGGCCCGAACCGGCCGGACCGGTTCACCAAATGGAGGGCCCGGAACCGGTATCCACCGGGCCGGTTCGACCCGAACCGCCGGTGGACCGGGACACCGGGCCGGACCGGTTCACATAGTAACCGGGCCGGGCCGGTTCCGGTTCGGGCCGCCCGGCCCAAGTCCAGCACTAATTAACGTGCTGGTTACTCTCTCATAGTATAGACTGATAGACATTATGAATTTCTTCAATATTTTTTAAATATTTTACCTTAATACAATAAACTCACAACTGTTCTTTAAATTAATTTAAATTAAAGTATCACAAACATAAAAATCAAAATTAATTGATTGAATTTTTAAGCAAAGTTAATTATATTAATGATAAAGACCCATTGTAGATCATGCGCCGGAGAGGGAAAATTAGTATACACTTAATAAATAAATTTATTAAATAAATACACAATGGCATACCTTAAAAAGGAGAGCTAGAGGAAATAATGGGAAGAAGTGGTTGAAGGGAAGAACTAAATAGTTATGGTCGATTTGAATCGAAAAGCTCTTGTAAAATGCTTCTCCTAATTAAACGAACATGGGTATTTTCAGGGGGGGGACTCAATTCAAACATGATAGGAATTTAATTAAGAATCGTGACATTTGCTTGTGTCTTCAGTCATAGTGAGACTCTCTCAAAGGGAACTCTTATTAGTGTGACGGTATAAAATACAATTAGTCCATATATTATTTGTATACACGTGTGTGTTGTGTGTGTAAGTTGTTAAATCGATGGACAGGGCCGTCTAATGAATTTGAAGACCGCTGTTCAAAATGCAAATTTGAGACCCCACGTTAATATAAAAAACTACAAAATATACTCGATGTAGATTCTTATTATACTCAAATCAATTGAATACTCATTAAATAATGTAATTACAGAATTACATATTGTAACTTTCCCTTTCAAATAATTAATGCCTACATTTTTTGTAAATGGTTTTAATTTATGAGGGCATTATGATACGGAGTAGTGGAGTGTGAGTTTAGCTGCAGGCTGCAGCACATATTCATATATGATAGTATACACTATTACATTACATAATCAATTAATATTAGTGACCTAAAAATAATACCACTAACATCTTATAAATATTGGGGCCCATGCAAAGTGAGGCCATGTTCCGTCGAACCTAATGAACATGCTAAAAAACGGCCCTGTCGATGGAATATCTCCTGATTAGATTTAGATTTTTCATATGTAAACATTTCCAAATTCCAAACAAAGCGGCTTCATGTATACACACATGTTTACACACCCTAAATTGCGTGTGACATCTATACAAAAAATTCTTAATGGTTATTTCCCAAATTTTGTGGTGACACGTACACTACATCATAAAAAGTGGCAAATTGTCAATGCAAACAAAATAGGAGGTGTTTTAAATGGGGGGCGTGTGTAAAAAGAACTTTTCATTTCCAAGTTCCAATATCCGAAACTTGTTCATTATGAAACTTTCGGCCAGTTCTGGGCATACATTTCCTTGCTTCAAACTAGACTAGAGCCTCCCTCTCATCGCATAGCTTGGAATTTAAGTTTGTCATTGGATGTAAGTGGGTCTTCCTTATGGATAGAAGTTTTTGCTATTTAAGGAATATTGTGTGTCATCCACTTTTTGCATCAGATATCTTTGGACCAAGTCTGACCTGCAAGCAATGGTATTGTTCAGTTTTCAGGAAAGTTTTTTGTGTTAGAGGCCGGATTTGAAGACAGTGATTCGTGCAGTTGGGCAGCACACGGGGTCTCTAAGTCTGTTACCTCACATAAAAGATGTAAGGTTCAAGGAAAATATCAAAACTTCAACCGTATACCGTACTTATCATCTCGAAGATTGACCACAATAACCAAGGGCGGATGTAGCCTAAGGATGTTTTTACTTGAACTAATATTTGCTGGTCTGATCTGTTTAAGTCTAGTCCGGTTTGGTCTGGCCTGAATTGGTGTGAAACTGAAAACAATCAAAGTAAAAAACATCCTAACTCCCCCATGCTAGAGCCAACCCCAAATGATTGATAATATACTACTACGATAGTATTAAAATTGTGATATAGTTAGTGATAAGCCCACCATGAATTTTAACATAAACTCAACCCAAATAGTTAATGTCAATATATACTCTCTTGTCCTTTGAAATTTTACCAAATTTGAGTGTCAAATAAAATAAGAAAAATAAAATAAGAAAGTAAAAGTTGTGTAATGCAGGTTTGTAAAGACGAGAGAAAAATGATTTTAGCTAATTCTGCGGGTTTAGTTAAATAAGTTAGGCTTGGTAGAATAACCTAACCAAGAAGCCTGAAAAAAGAGAGAAGAGACAATTAGAAGAAAAGCGTCTTACAAAACAAAGAGTTATTGTGTGATAGCAAACACTGATCTGGATTTTGAGTTAGTGAATGACCTTAACTGCACTTTCTCAGAAAGATCAGCAATTGTATTGGTAGTAGGAACAGAAGTACCTATCAGTACAAAACAGAACATTTTCATTTCTTTTCAATTCAGATGCATATCGAACAAAATATTTTCAACAGGAAGATCACATAACAGGCTAAACATTCTGGTTTTTCTTCATCTTCGAAGGCGGCCATCTTCCCTTCTTCCTCAACGCACGTTTCCTCATTAGCCGCTTTCTTCTCATTCTGATTTTCTTTGCCATTTTAATTCTCATTTTCCGCTCAACAGCTTCCTGAAGCTTGGACTCTAAAGGCAGGTCCTCAACGGGCACGTTTTCCTCATTACTCTCTGAGGGAGGCTCACCATTGTCACTCACACTGGAAGCTGCATTTGAAACCAATGCATCTCTCTCTTTGAAAATATGTGATGCAAGAATCCGGGGATTGATGTAGGATCTTGATGCCGTGCCATAACAAGTTCTATCAAACCTCAGGACTAGTGCAATGGTTGGAAATTACAAAGTTCACAAGTTAGTAAAAAAAATGTTAACCAAGAGAGATCTTATAGCTACTGTTATTGAATGGTTCAGGATAAATTCTTTTTGGGATAAGGGTCAGATAGGGCCTCGAACTCGAAAAAAAATGTCAAATAAGGTCATATTTCGGATGCTCTGTCTGGCCGACGCCATTTGGGGCGGTTCCCGATGGAATTTTTTGATGAAATTTTTTGAGCATCTTCCTCATTAAGTCTAGTTTACCCATACCAAATTTCAGCTAAAAATTCAACCGGGAAGGTAGTCAAATAATTTTCCGAAATGTACGGCGTTGTTTAACTTCACAGTTATCTTCAAAAATTCATTTGACTACCTTCCCGGTTGAGTTTTTAGCTGAAATTTGGTATGGGTAAACTAGACTTAATGAGGAAGATGGTCAAAAAATTTCATCAAAAAATTCCATCGGGAACCGCCCCAAATGGCGTCGGCTAGACAGAGCATCCGAAATATGACCTTATTTGACATTTTTTTTCGAGTTCGAGGCCCTATCTGACCCTTATCCCATTCTTTTTTGATGCTCTTCCTTTGAACCGTTCAACATCTCCTAATTTTCATCAGTGAAGCTAAAATTGAGCTTGAATGATTCAAACTCATTGATGCAAGTTACATTACACGGAATATGATTAATTTCATTTCATAATAAAGAATCTGAAATTTTCAAAGATACTGGAGTGAACAGTTAAGACATGTTCGACAAAATGCCTAAGAGATGTCCTTCCACGAAAAGAAGGTATTAGGGTAGTAAAGAAACCCACTAGTCAATCCGAAGAAAGTACACACAGAAGATTGCAATTTGAAAATGCAGTAAAACCATCAAGAGGTTCTCGCGAATGGGAAAATTTCTGCCATTCGGGAATTAAAGAAAAACTGCAATGGGTATGAAGGAAGAATCAGAATCTTACGTGGATGAGCGAGCAAAGAGGAAGCTGACGACGGCGATGAAGAATGAAGTGAGAGAGAAGCGGTGGTTGGAATGGCGGTGAAGAGGAGGGCGGCAGCCATAGCTTGCGGATAAGAGCCACGATGCTCTGATAAATATGAGCCGGTGAAATGAGAAAGCGTGGATAATGGACTTCCCAATCGAGAAAAATATTGCTACCTGCCTTCCAAAACATTGAAATTTCAGAGGAATTCGTTTTTATTCTCTAAACATTGAGTCATTTCTGTTATGTTTAACATAGCATAATGCTAAATTTGGCAGATATCACCCTTGTTCAACATCACAGTTTCATTTTGAAATTACAAAATTTTGTTATTTCTATTTGGAGAATTTTCCCTTTTCTAACCCTGATCAAGTATTTCATAAATACTTTTAATTCAAAATTATTTTGTTAAATACTTTTTTCAGCATTATTTTGGAAAACAATTTGACAAAGCTAACTCTAGTACACAAACTATACCATTAATACCTTGGCACAAACTATAATTTTGTGCTCACAATTATATGTCAAAAATATGGATTTTCATATTTTTCTCATGAAAATAATACCTCGTAGCTTCATGTGTATGTGCAAATCAATGTTTTCCGCATAAAATATTGTCTATGCGGCCAATTTTGGTGGTCTAAGTTAACAAAATGCGATTTTTCTAATTCAATTTTCTGTCAAAATTAATAGTTGTCTACGAATGTGTAAATCAGCGATGTTACCATTGTTATGCGTGTTATCTAGTTATGAGCTCGTTTAATAACAACAAAATTAATTGAATCGGCTAGTTATTTACGAAGTGGTAAGAGTAACTAACTCTGCTCATTTATGAAAATGTATATTTTGTTAATAAAATTATTAAGAAAAATTTATACTCTCTCCGTATTTAAAAGGGAAAGTTCCCGAAATAGAACTAAAACAGTTTTAAAATTCCAAAATAGGACTATCATGTTTTTTTATTCCCAAAATAGGAGTAATTACTGCCAGGTTTGGAAAATACTGTCATGTTCGAAATCTGGTACTGCCAAATCATGGCAGTAATTAGTCCTATTTTGGAAATAAAAACATGTCAGTCCTATTTTGGAATTTCCAAACCTTTTTAGTCCTATTTTGGGTAAATTCTCTATTTAAAATATTACTACATTAGACTTTGACAAATTATTTAATGAGAAAATAGTAGGGGTAATGAATAATGTAGAAAAGTGTGAGAGAAAAAGTTTAAAAGTATGAAATAGAAGATAAAAAATAGAAAACTTAAAGGCAATTGAGTATTATTAAATAAAATTTATAAAAAAAGAAAGTTTAAGTAAACTTTTAAATACATCATAAAAAGAAAAAGGGGAAAATAAATAATATACCCCGAACTTTGCCTTAGTGTGAGCTCCCCACCCCGAACTTGTCCTAGTTTAAAAAATACCCCCAACTTTATTTATTTAAATTTTTTGTACCATATTTTAATTAACGAATAATATTTCTCAAATTATAATATGTTAATTAGATTTAGTTGGCAAAAAAAGATTAATTAACATATTTTTTGTACTTAAATTAGAGATTTTGAAGTTATTTAATCAATTCGAAAAGCACACATTTATTTGGGAATCGCACATCTTTTTTTGCCAACTAAATCTAATAAAATATTACAATTTGAGAAATATTATTTGTTTATTAAAATATGGTACAAAATATTAAATAAATAAATTTGAGGGTATTTTTTAAACTATGACAAGTTCGGGGTGGGGAGCTCACACCAAGGCAAAGTTTGGGGTATATTATTTATTTTCCCCAAAGAAAAATGTAGTAACTTTAAAAGTAACTTCTAAAAAGCAAATTTATCCTAGTCCTCTACTGTAATTTCTGTCAATTCAACCAATAAAGTAACGTATTACACCATTTAGAACGGGAAATCAAAAGTTTACCTCACGTTAAATAAACCATTGGCGGAGAACTAGAAAGGCAGCTAGCCCCAGTTAAGTAACGATCATTTCAAAAAAGTTGGGTCATTGATGATTTTCTCCACGAAATTTTATGTTTTTGAGAAAGTGCCCCAAGATATTTATGAGCCTTATGTGTAGGCGTGTAGCAATGCAGTCACTACGATATTTTGTATTGCAGCATACTGTTGCTAAATGGTATGTAGGGATTATAGGATAACTACAATTATTATTTGTTTAAATGGAAATATTATGTACTCCTCCCATATTATGTACTCTTCCAACTTTTCTTTTTGGGTCATCCCAAAATATTCTTCTCACTTGCCATTTTTTTTTAAAAAATTGTAACTCACATTCATTTGCCTTTTTTTACACAACTACAATCATACATTTCCACTTTATTCTCACTTCCTTAATTTGCGAACCAAGTCAGAGAACAATTTTATGGGACAGCCACCGAGGTTGTATTTTTTATTTTTACGTGTTTCTCCTATACTTTGTATCCTATATGCATATACTCACGTGTCATCTGTAAGATCAATCGTATTCTGCATTTTATACATTGCACATTTCATATGGAAATCAAAAAGAATTTCAAGCGTTGACATCCGTCTATATTTGCAAGCAATAATGATCACCAAGCAGGAAGGGTATTTCGACTGGTATGAAGTATGAACTCATGATTTGAAAGTCTCTGATTCGATTCCAAGAAACCCCATTAAAGATTTAAAGGTTACTCTATCATAAGTTCTGGGCTAGTGGTAATCGGTTGACCAAAATGGTAATTTAGGGGGTATTTGTTATCGCCACAAAAACTCACCAAAATCTAGTCAGGCTGGCTCCTCATTCAGTAGTAGAATGTTAAGTACAAGATGAAAACCATGCATACCAGTGCTAGAGCAGAAGAAGAATCTGTTCAAGAATTAGTTTCCAGAGTTTCTGTCAATACACAAAAAATTTGCAAGAGTATAACACCTCTTCATCACCTAAAGCATAAACCGATTCCTCAAACCAAAACAGTAGACTCTCATTGTTATGAGCACCTAAATAGCTTCTGTGCAGCAGCACCAATAGTCAGAACATGATCAGATTGGTTGACGCGCCAACGACAAATGGCTCCAACAAGAGCCTTGTCAAAAAGTAAAACATAACCCCAAGAGCAATTGAAATGGGAAGCGCAGGCAAAGCATGGCGGCACACGGCAAGCAAAATCAGTGTGCACCCCAACCCAGATATGATAGCAAGGTAACAAGCATACACTGTCAACAGATCAAACATTGCAGCCCTTCCAAGCAGAACACTATAGAAGATGAAGTCCCCTAATCCAAGCCTAATTCCCCTCTCCCTCTCCCCCTCCTCTTCTTCACTTTGCCTCTCCAACTCTCTTACTTCTGTGCTCTCATGGTGCCCTTCTGTCAAAGAATTGCCGCTAGTCATCAATGGAGAAGTCTCCTCCGTGATTTCCTCGCATTCATTTTGAATATTTACAGCCGAATGTGGGCTCCTTACATCAATATTCTCATCGTCACCACTGGTAACATTAGTATTACCTGAAACGGTTTGAAGTTCAATATCAGAAACCCCAGCCAACAAAAGCCCAACCCCAGAACCTCTTCTGCTCCTTTGCTCACTAGGCCGGGACTCATAAATTAGAGCAGGAAGTTCCTCATTCCGTGATGAAGACAACTCCACCAGAATCTTAAGTGGTCCTCCGGGGGCCAACACTGCAACCAAATCGTACAAAGCCAACATCACAAGGCAAACCCAGGTGGTCCACTCTGGCAATTTTGTGAACCAAACGGCAACGATGATCCCAACTGCCACCATGTACATCTGATTAAGCAGGATGGGCACACCCTGTGAAAAGACGGAGATGACCCCAAGGATACTGAAGTTGAAGAGGAGTAAAGCACATGTGATTACGTCTATGGGGATGTTGAAGTGCTGGATGATGGAGAGGAAGATGGAGCCACCCATGGACGTCAATACAAAGAAGACAGAAAGGCGGACATAATGTTTTATAAAGTTTGTGAATCGAAAATAATACAGGGCCACAAGGAGAAAGGTGACCACCACGAGGAGGATAACGAAAACTAGTGCATTGAGAAGAGCTCCTTCCAGTTTTTGAGAAGTGGAATCGGAAGGGTTTTCAAGGTATACAAGATTTGCGGCAGTCTGGATAGTGGTGGTGGCTGAGGTGGGGGAAGAAAGGGAGTATACAATGAGGACCACCAAGAACATGCAAATAGACACCGGAGCCATCACCCCAGTAATCTCACCTCCAACCGTATCTAAAATGCTGCCGTGATCCATTCCGCAGCCAGATAAACATGTAGATCAGGAATCCCTCTTCAATTTGGAGGGCTGGCCTGTTCACTTCTTCTTTGTGCTACCTAAACAAACACAAACGCAAATAAACCCTAATTTCGCTCGCCTATGGATATAACTTACATCGACTGACCGACTCGATATCACGAATGCACATGAAATTGGACAGGAAAGTGAAAGGTCGACGGCGTTCGCCGCCGATCACTGAACAAGTGCTAATATAACTGCACAAGTACTCATATAAGGCGATAAATCAGAAAGCTTGGTTTACCGATTTCTAATATTCGATACTGATGTATCGCCGCCGATCAATTTCTCTGCAGCCGAATGTTGAGGATTAGCGAGAACCTGATCAGAGACTCCCGGAAAGAGTGGGCCGATAAGTACTTTATGCAGGGCCATTCGGAAAGAGTTCAACCATCCATTTTCATGTTCCCTTCCATTTCAACCATCCATTTAGACTCTGCTTTCTTTTACCTCAGGGTCGTTCTTCGGCGTTTGCTTGGTAAAAATGTAGGTTTGAGCTAACACTTGAACATGTGATTAGTGGTTTGTTTGCCAAAAATAAAATTGATGATTGTGTAATGAAATAGAAGGAAATGCGCACAAGATTAGGGAGGAGAGGATGTAAGTATGCTCTCAAAAGAGGTCTTTTTAATGGTGTGTTAGAGGTGTGTAAATCACAATGACAAATTACCACAACACACTTATCACCTTGATATCATAATTATTATTATGCTTTACTAATTATTTTGATGATGGTGATAATAATTCATATTCATTAATAGTTAGAAGATGACTAATTTAATTATCTTTTAACACTTCCGATCATCTTCTACTTATTTTGGGATATTAGGTGTCTCATAAAAAACCTTATTGCGGTTTCCACAATGTGATGAAAATCATAGTTAAGGGGAAAAAAGTACAACATTTAGTTTGATAGTATTGCAATGTAATGTCTCGTTAAAAACTTTGTCATGAAAAACTCAGTTGGATAAAAATCTGAACAAAGGGAAAACGAGTGTAGTGCATTTAATACCCCCTCAAATTTAACGTATATTTCAGAGACGACACATACTGATTTTGTGGACAAGTTCTTCAAATTTATTTGAGTCCGATGATTTGTGAATATCAGTAGGATTGTCGCATGACTTGATTTGTTTAACATTAATCATTACTTTTTTTCAAGATCATGTGTGGAGAAAAGTTTTGCTACTATATGTTTTATTCTATCCCCTTTTACGTAACCTCCTTTGATCTAAGACTCTGAGCTATACATGTCGTGTTGTCTTCATAAATCACAGTAGAATCACATGTAAACAATTTACCCCGCATTCTCGGCTTGCTTCATAAAGAGCAATTAATCCGCATGATTTGATGATGTGGCATTGAATGATTACTTCATTGACATCCACAAGATAGCGGTACCACCATAAGTGAATAAATAAGTGAAAGTTCCCGAAATAGGACTAAAACGGTTTGATAATTCCAAAATAGGACTAACATGTTTTTTGTTCCCAAAATAGAAGTAATTACTCTCAAGTTTGGAAAATACTGTCATGTTTGAAGTCTGGTACTGCCAAAACATGACAGTAATTAGTCCTATTTTGGAAATAAAAACATGACAGTCCTATTTTGGAATTTTCAAACATTTTTAGTCCTATTTCGGGTAATAATAAATTATTTGTGAATTTGCCTTTTGTGAATTAGACAAGTGTCCTGCATCGGCATAGCCAATTGATGTGGTGTTTGCACCATTCTTGTAATACAATCCAAGATCTATTGTACCATTAAGATAGCGTGATGTATACGGAGTATATATTAACATCATTGCAATGTCTTCTTGTTGGGGAAGAGTTGTACCTAACTAATAAATTTTCAGAAAAAACAATATATATGGTCAGGTAGTATTAGCCAAATACATTAATGCTCTAACATCACTCACATATGATATTTCGGGACCAAGGGTATCTTCATCATCTTCACAAGGTCGGAAATGACCATCATGCACATTGAGAGATTGAGCCACTATTAGAGAATGGTGTAGGCGTGCTTTATCCATTAACTGATCTTGTCTTGTCTTTTTAAGACTGATCTGTTTTGAATTGGTCAAGTATGATCTGATAGATTTTTCTTCTATATACATATCATAATTGTCGAAGTGTGATCTAATCATATCTGATAGTGGTCTGATTTGGTCTATTACTTAAGTCTACTTTAAAAATACATTATCTGATCTTAGACCGAAACTAATCCAATTAAAACTTCTGACTACCCACCCAATAGTTTATACTCCATCCGTTCCATTTTACCTGTCCTACTTTCCTTTTTGGGTTGTCCCAAAATAAGTGTCTCCTTTCCTTTTTTTGGAAAGAAATATGTGGCCTACATCATTTCACTTTATTATACTCAAATCTCAACCACAACTTTTACTTTTTCAACCACTTCATTAATAATCGTGTCAAGTCAAACTCAGACACATAAAATGGGAAGGAGGTAGTAACATGTAAGTTTGGTAACCTCGTTATTACATGTAATAGTGAATAATTCTGTGGACTATGAAATTATGAAATTGTGCCCTACAAAATACAAATCATACGTTAATTGTCATTTTTAAGATCCGTTAACGTTGCCAAACAAGGAACATAGCCGCGCAGGCACCAACAGTAATAATGAGTGTTTTGGGACTAAAGTGCCCTTTAAAGTTTCAACCCCTACTTTTCATTTATCCTCTCCAACTGTGCGATTCACTCCCATCTTCTTCGTATAGTGTATGCATCCCTGAATTCCACATATCGCCGTTGAAACGACTCCTTGGATTATGGCAAACCATGAGAGATATGAAACACGATGAAAGGACTCTAGCAGAGACAAAACACATCAGTTATCTCCTTTAGCCTAGAAATTCGTGCATCAGTTGAACTCCGGCAAAGCAAAGGCAAAACGCTGCAATTCAGCTCTTGTTTGGACTCCGAAAAAAGAGTCGCATCTACATCCCTCGTTGTCCTTCCAAATCTCAGTTTTCTATCACAATCTTGTGAGGTATTGTCTGATTGTAGATCTTTTTTCTTTCTATTTGCTTTCATTTATGATCCATGGACTACGATTTTTGGTTCAGTTTGTAGATTCATTTGTTTGGGGAAATAAATACGGAGTATATATTGATAGTAAATATAAATGTTTGTCTTTTCTCAGATACGGTGGCTCCACTAAGTTCATGCAATCATGTAACATATTCGATAATATTAGGGCTTTGGTCGTATTTATGATTTTTTTTATGCATTTCTTGTTTTTCGGAAGCTGAATCAGGGATTTCCTTGTGCGTTGATTTCGTGAAAGGTTGAATCTTTATTTTGGTAATTGAGCCTTATAAATGATTAGTTTTCAAAGGATTTCATAATGAATGTCATCTGAGTATTAGCTGCATCATTTTAAAAAATGTTATTTTTTGTTAAAATGACATTCCTCAATCTGGGGTTCATTTTTTGTAAATAGTGAAGTAACATCCGGCGATAGGTTGTGCTTTGGGAATTCAAATTTGTGATTGTGTGTGTTTATTTGAAAGGCTATTCTGTAATGGAGCAAGCTACAGATTCAAACTCGGCGCAGCCATCTGGTTCCGTTGATAAGTCAAGGATGTTGTCTGTGAAGCCTTTAGCATGTCTAACGCCTGTATTTCCATCACCGAGTGGAATGTCACCCATTGGATCGCCACAACCCTCACCCTTTGTGTGTGTTCCTCCAAATGGCCCTTTTCCTCCTGGAGTTGCCCCATTTTACCCATTTTTGCCTCATGAATCTGGAGGAAGACCTGCTGAACAAGGGTCTTTTGGTAATCCAATGTCCCCAACTCCTATAAATTCGTTCAGAACACCAACGGTGAATGGGACTACTACGAGATCAAAGAGGACCACTAGAAGAGTGGTAGAAGATGATGATGGTGGTGGTTATAGTGACTCCCACAACCAGAGTGACTTTAGCATGCATGTTAATGATGAGGAGGACACCAGCACGGGAGGACGAAGAGGTAAATATAAAAAAAGGGGAAGGAAAAGACCTGAGATGGATGATGCATCTATTGAAGCGTATTATGTACCCATGCTTAACAATCTTCTTGAATCATTTAAACTCACTGATTTGGATACGTATAAGAAGGCTGATGGTGACAAGGAAACTGTTGGCCGCATATTGTTGACGTATAACTTGTTTAGAAGAATGATGACCCAATTTGATGAAAAGGGGGAGGCGGGGACAGGAGGTACCAAACGCCCTGACTTGAAATATGCAAACATGATGATGAAAAAGGGGATTCGGACAAATCAAACAAAAAGGATCGGGGATGTGCCCGGGGTTGAAGTAGGAGACATCTTCTTTTTCAGGATGGAGCTATGCTTGGTTGGAATGCATGCCCCAAGTATGGGGGTATAGATTACATGAGTGTCAAGCTATCTCTGTATGAAGAACCTCTTGCTCTCTGCATCGTCTCATCAGGAGGATATGAAGATGAGGGGGGAGATTCAGATGAGCTGATTTACACAGGCCAGGGTGGGGTCCAAAGACCGGACGGTCAAATGTTTGATCAGAAACTTGAAAGGGGAAATCTTGCCTTGGAGAAGAGCCTCCATCGTGCCAATGAAGTTAGAGTGATTAGGGGCTTAAAAGATTATATGACGGTGGCTGGAAAGGTTTATGTGTATGACGGTTTATACAAAATTCAGGAGTCATGGGCAGAGAAGAACAAGTCTGGACTGAATGTTTTCAAGTACAAATTGGTTAGAATTCCTGGGCAGCCAGAGGTGTATTCTTTGTGGAAATCGATTCAGCAATGGAAGGCTGGTGTTGCTGTACGGGATGGTATAATACTGTCAGACATAACCTCTGATGTGGAGAGTATACCTGTTTGTCTGGTCAATGATGTTGATGATGACAAGGGGCCTGCTCATTTTACATATATCCCATCTCTTAAAGACCCAAAGCCCTTTTTAATGCCAAAACATTCTTTGAGCTGCCGCTGTGCGGATGGATGTCAACCCGGCGACACCAACTGCCCTTGTCTCCAGAAAAATGGAGGCTTTCTACACTATAGTTCACTTGCGGTTCTCTTGACCTACAAAGCTATGATACACGAGTGTGGTCCTTCCTGTTCCTGTCCTCCCAATTGCCGGAACCGAATATCCCAAGCAGGTCTTAAGGTCCGTTTAGAGGTTTTCAAAACAAAGAATCGAGGTTGGGGACTTAGGTCATGGGATCCCATACGTTCAGGTGGTTTTATATGTGAGTATGCAGGAGAAGTCATTGATGCTTCTAGAGCAGGCGAGTATGGGAACGAAAGTGGGGATGCTTATATCTTTGATGCCACTCGGAACTATCCACCTCTGGAAGCTGTGCGAGTTGGTCAGGATGAGTCTCCAAATATCCCATTTGCCCTTGTTATAAGTGCAAGAAATTACGGGAATGTTGCTCGATTCATGAACCATAGCTGTTCACCAAATGTCATGTGGCAGCCAGTTGTGCGTGAGAATAATAACGAGGCATATTACCATATTGCCTTTTTCGCCATCAACCACATTCCTCCTATGCAGGAGTTGACATTCGATTATGGACTGATCCAGTCAGATAGAGGAGCAGATCGTAGGAGGAAGAGGTGTTTGTGTGGATCACCAAACTGCAGAGGATTTTTTTACTAGCAGTCCTTGAGGGCTTCCAATATTATCACCCTCTGCACAAGGTTGGGTTATTAATCTATTTCCCTCTAAATTACTATATCTTGTAGCCATTAATAAAATATAGACTTTGTGCGTACAGAATCCACACTGCTCTGCACATCAGCAGATGAAGCAGTGTCACTTTCGGTTGTAGCTTTGAGATTCCACAAGAGTCTACGTTTTTGTATCTTGTATGTGAACCTGTATGTTAGGGTTTAACTTTAAATTAGCATGAACCTAAATTGAGCCATTAGTCCTTGTTTGGATTAATGTGTACTCTTTTGTCTAAACTACTCTTTACGAGACTATTGTTGCCTTTGTATTATTCTTTTTTAATTTTGGTTTGTTTCAGGACCCAGCATGTATATCTTCTTGCACGTAAATTTTTGTGCTCTCAACTTGTTGGGTTTGATCATACAGAGTACATAAGTTAAAGTGGGTTGGAAATAGCCTGTGCAATAATTGTTGCATCTATAACTATATACTCCTCCCTCTATCTAAACTTTGCTATCTTTCCTTTTTGGGACGTCCCAAAAAACTTTTTCACTTTCCCTTTTAATCAATTATTTTGTGGTTTCTGTTATTTCTCTCTCCTCTGCACAAACTTCAACCACACAATTTTTATTTTATTATTCTCCGTGCCGGTCAACTTTGGCAAAGTTTTAAGGGATGGAGGTAAACGGAAAAATAAAAACTATTGTCTCATTGTGTTTGCCTTGCTGCAATTCGCTATATTCTCTGAAGTACAGTGTTAGATGGTGAGCATAAGAGCATCTCCAATGCTACAATGTGCACGGTGCATGGCAACTCGGGTGTAGTGATAAACGTAAGGGTTTTCAGATTCTTGACTGGCATGTGTGGTTAAAGAAGCTTGGGAGTCCCAAAGCATTGAAGGTTGCAGTTATTATGGTTAACCATTGAGAATCGTAAAAAGGTCTGAATGTGGGGGGGTGCTGGGTGTAAACCATAGTTGTATGCACACCGCAATGATGGTAGTAAATGAACAAATGAAAATAAATAAATAAAAAAGGGATGAATTCGTTGTTTGTAATTGTGCGATGCAATTGTGCCTCATATTGCACTAGGCATGGACTTGGGTTGCTCCGGTCCCGGTTCCGAGTACTGGGTCTGTCTGTTTTCGGACTCGGGTCTTTTTTTGTGTCTGGTTCCAAGGGTTTAGGGTTTAGACCTGTTCGAAATACGGAAAAGGACGGGTCCAGTTCCAACCATTCCAAGGCTAAAATAAAAAATGACTCATCGTGACCGGAATCACCTGATTCGGTGCCAAAAAATAGAATTCGGGATCTGGTACCCGTTCTTCTTCCGAAGTTGGAAAAACGAACTCGGTTCGGCCATGCACATTACATGACCCAGTTTTGGACTGGGTCTATGTCTTTAGTGCGCCTTAGATAATTCCTAATTATGGCGTTGGGAGTGTGGCGTACACAATATGTAGAGTGAGCCAGTGAGGCGTGCACAATATTGCATACACATTAAGGTGTTGGGAGGCATACGCTATAAGAGGCCAGTGCATGAAATCTGCGTGCAAAAATATATTTTGGGAGGCATACACAATATTTATATACGTGCACATATATATTTGTGTCTCATTTTGTAATGAGGCTTACACAATATGTAATTTCAAAAAATCATAACCACGCCATACATAATTTTGAACCTTGAGCCTAACTCCAAACTTATGAATTAATTGGAGGGGTTAGATCAGATTATGATCAATCGGCTAAATCGTAGACAGATTGTGAGGTCTATATGTGCACTTGGGTTAAATGTGGTTGTCTCTTAGGTTAGCTCTTAAGAATTGAATATGCAAAGATGTCTATGGTAGGCACACAACATACAAATATACGTATGTGTGCAAAGTATACATTCGAGTACGCAAGCCAATGTCTATGAGTTGTCAGTGTGAAGAGCTCATGAGCTTTTCAAATGAATGGAGATATGGAGAAACTCTTAGTTACGAGCTGGCTAGTGGACAATAGAGTCTAAAGCAATTGGGAAAATATTGTCATCCTGAACCTTCCCATTAAGCGTGCTTCTCATGCCCTAAATGTGGACTTGGAACTGTGGTTAGCTAGTTATGCATTCCGGCTTTCTTAAAAACAAAAGTAGCTCCCCTCAATATCAAAATTAAATGTCCATTTGTTATTCTGAAGATGGTATGGAATTCAATCATCCAAAAAGGTAAAAGGAGAATATCACGACTATAGCCTATACGTAAAAACAAATGAAGGGAAACTGAACTCCCACAGTGAAAAGATTCAATCTTGGGGCATGATACTAGATTTTAACCTCCAACACCATCTGAGCTACTAATGTTGGCAGATACATCACTGTTTCTAAACAAGTAGTATAAGGTTCTTTATTCTTCCTAGTTATCTTGGGCTTGGTTCTATACAAATCTTGCAGTTCTTTCTTTGTAATTTTCGAATCGGGCTATCTTTATAGCCTTTTCACCATTTTTGACCAAGTTGTTCTTCTCAAGTCATCAACTATGGATTTACTGCTAACTGCTCTATATAGTTGACATTGCTTCAAGTTTCTAGTATCTAGACACTCACGGGCTCACGGCTCCTCCCAACCACTGCCATTCTACGCATCTGCATTGAGTAATACTCCGTAGTCATGTCTGTGCTACACTGATAATATGATGCAGGCGTTTGAGAAGTCTACATGAGAAGCACAGCCTAAATTAGAGGTGGACCCGGTCTAAAACCGGGTCTAACACTGTTTGGGACTGGGCCGGATCCGGTTTTTACGGTTCCAGACCTGGGACAAGCCCTGTCCGCCCAGGCGGGGTACCCAGTACCGGCTCACATACTTGGGGACCGAACCGGGCAGTTCGAGTCCCAGTTTCAATCCCAATCAATCATTTTTTAGCCTTCGAAACGGGCAGAAGTTAATAAAAAGAAAAGAACGGGACCATGTTTGACCCGGTACCGGACCACCCGTATACCGAAAACTGGCCCAGAACCATATATTACAAGGTCAGACCAGGCTCCTCTAATTCTCTAAACATTGTCCAGGACCCGAACCAGAACCGAGTCCACCCCTAGACTAAATCACTAAATATTCTGTTTGAGTTTTAGCCTTTTAGGCATATAAAACTTAGAAGTATGTTTGTGAATCTGGCAGTGATAACTTGAGTTCCATACTCGGATACTCCCATGAAATAGTACTCATGTGATTCGTATTTCTTGATAGAGCAAACAGTTTACTGTTTATATATGGTAAAAGGAAGACGTTTAGTTATTTTTGCAGTATCTACTACCAGTAGTTGTTTCTTCCCTTAAAAAAGGAATCATAATTCGTAACTTGGCACACAAATAAGCTAAACAAAAACGGTCACTTTTTCCTACAACATACACAGTAATTTTAAAAATGTTGACATTCATGCTTCAGGGTATAGTTTTTAGGAAGGTTTTTAATGATAACTTCTATATATATATATAAATATATGATTTAGTATTACAGAGCACTTCTGAGGTAAACAAAAATTGAATTACATACACACTAAATTCCATTATCATTTTCGAACAAACTCCGTTTTCATTTTCGAACTCCAGTCGCAGAAATGACATTATGAACACAAAACTTGAGACTTGGAGCAATAGCCATCTTTTGGGTGGTAAACGTTTGCAGAAGCTGCAGAAATGACTAGTATTTGCACCCCGCTCCCAATGGGAAAACTACAAAAGCGCACACGTCCAAGTACAAGTGGATCACCTGCCCATGAAATTTAAACCAGATAATAATGAAATTAATGCAAAATGAACCAACTTCTTTGTTAATCCACACATAGACAAGATCATCTTTGAAATTAATGCATAACGAACCAACTTCTTTGTTAATCCACACATAGACTAGATCATCTTTGAAATTAATGCATAACGAACCAACTTCTTTGTTAATCCACACATAGACTAGATCATCTTTGAAATTAATGCAGAACGAATCAAATTCTTTGTTAATCCACACATAGACTACAATACATAGCAGTTGTGAAGTAAAGATAATTGAGTACCTTCGATTATGGAAGAACATGTGAGCGAAAGATAAGGGGATAGGTGGAGCAAAACCCGGTGCTCCAACACTGCTCAAAGTAGCCAAACGAAAGAAATTCAAGAACATAACTTAGAAAATCTAGGAACAGAACAAGTGGAGGCAAACACAATGGAAATTCAGTATGAAAGAAAACTTGAAGATAAAAGATTACTAACATGTTTTGGATATTTGTTAAAGCTAGTCTATTTTCATAGTCCCTCTTTTTATTTGCTCCTTATTCCTTTTTGGAATGTTTTTTATTATTTGCTCACTTTCCTTACCTAATACTATCTACATAAATACCCTTTCTTTTCCATCATCCCTCTCCTCCTATTGACTAGCCCTACTATTTTCATCTTAAACTCCGTGAAAACCCAATAGAAGCAACTAGTAAATATTGAAATGCATAATACATAAAACTATGGACTATATACATAACAAATATTGTGAGAGAATCTAATCATTTTTTTCTGTTTTCTTTGCATTTCTGAAGATAAGTCAAAGCTCTCAAACGTAAGAAAACAACTTTTCTTTGCACCTTTTCCCTTGTGCTAACATTTTTCAATACTCCAAACATAAAACACTTTATACTTGAGGCTCGAAGGAAGCATGCAGTTCAAGAGATGGTGATAAAGTCATTGCTGATAGATTCATCACAACCGTAAATAAAAGGGAAAACTGTCAAATAAGTCCACATACTTTTAACAAAAAGTCAATTGAGTCCATGTACTTTTTTTCAAGTCAATTAAGTCCATCAACTATCAAAAAACGATCAAATCGGCTTTTTAGCCGGTAGTAAACCGGTTACCCGGTTAAATGCATACGTGGACATCCGAATTGGATTTATTTTTACATTTTTCCTATTTCCTTTTCCTTTTTTCTTCTCTCTTCTTTTTTCTCTTTTTTCTCTTCCTTCCTCTTTCTTCTTGGTCCGCTCCTCTTCTTCTCCCAATCCGGCAGTCCCCTGCTCTCCACCATAACTCCTAATACTCCGCCCCACCACAGGAACAAACTCCGCCGCGGCGCCGCCAAGGCCTCTCCAGCCACCACCTCCGCCTCCCAGGACTCTTCAGCCACCACCTCCGCCGTCCAACCTCCATAGCCACCGTCGGAGTATGGCCTCCACCTTCACCTTAAGTCCTCAACCGCCTCTTCCTCCGTCCACACCGCCTCCGGCCACCACTTCCGTGGCCTTCCCCTTCGCCTCCTCCATTGAAGCGACCTCCAACCGCCCCGGCTTCCATAACCGCCGCCTTGAGCCCCTGACCACCTTACCCACAACTTCGGCCGACTTCCACATCCATGGTCTCCACCTCCATCTCTTCCATCGGACGACCTCCAACCACCCTCCGTTGCCACCTCCTGACCTCCATAGATCTGTAGTTGCGGAAGAAGGAAGGAGAGGTCGTAGATGGAAGGGTTTGAGTCGCAGAAGAGGAGCGGACCAGAAGAAGAAAGAGAAAAAAGGGGGAAAAGGAAGAGAGAAAGGGAAAAGAGAAAAAGAAAAGGAAAAATAAAATAAAAAATTGGAAAAAAGTACAAAAAAAACGCCAGCTTGGATGTCCACATAGGCTTTTAACCGGGTAACCGGTTGGTTACCTATTAAAAAGCCGATTTGGTCATTTTTTGATAGTTGGCGGACTTAATTGACTCGAAAAAAAGTACATGGACTCAATTGACTTTTTTTAAAAGTACATGGACCTATATGACACTTTTCCCTAAATAAAAACTTAAAGAGATAAGTTGGCTTACCACTGAAAGCAATGGTCCCTGCTTAAACCTATTGTGAAATGAAAACGATAATGGCTTGGGGTTATCGCCAGGACCTCTTATAAAACCTCTGCATTGAATTTCAATTGTACAATGAGCAAGAGATACATAGATATTGTGAAATATAAGATTGTATTCATTATACTTCATATGAAATCCTATACAAGAAGCTATATTTATAGCTATATTTAGAGTACTAGGGTTTCCTATACAAGATATACAAAATGGGCTAAGCCCAATACTAGTAGGGTTTCCACACTCCCCCTCAAGCTGGAGCATATAAATCATATGTACCAAGCTTGTTACAAATATATTCCACTCTAGGACCTCTAAGAGACTTAGTTAAAATATCTGCAAGTTGTTCAGTTGTGTTCACATATTTTGTGATGATATGTCCACTGGTGATCTTCTCTCGGATAAAATGACAATCAACTTCAATATGTTTTGTCCTCTCATGATATACCGGATTTGATGCGATGTGCATTGCGGCTTGATTATCACACATGAGTTGAGCCGGTTTTGTGTTTCCATATTTTAACTCTTGGAGGAGATGCTTCAACCATAAGATTTCACAGGTAGCAAGGGCCATTGCACGATATTCTGCTTCAGCACTAGATCTGGCAACCACATCCTGTTTCTTACTTTTCCATGAAATTAAGTTTCCACCAATCAAGATGCAATATCCCGAAGTGGAACGTCTATCCATCGGACATCCGGCCCAGTCTGCATCACAGTATCCCACCATATCACGGTGACCTCGATCTTCAAACAACAATCCTTGCCCTGGAGTTTTCTTGATGTATCTCAAAACTCGAATAGCTGCATCCCAATGTCCAGTACATGGCTTATCAAGAAACTGGCTAAGAACACTTACCGCAAATGAAATATCTGGTCTCGTGATGGTAAGATAATTCAATTTTCCGATGAGTCTTCTATATTTTTCCTTGTTGGGCAAAAGATCTCCTTGTTCTGATAAGAGTTTAACGTTCGGATCCATTGGTGTATCCACTGGCCTGCAATCTAGCAAACCTGTTTCCTCAAGAATATCCAAGGCATACTTTCTTTGTGAGAGAGCAATTCCATCTTGAGACTGTGCAACCTCAATGCCAAGGAAGTATCTCAACTTTCCCAAGTCTTTTGTTTGAAATTTGCTAAACAGATGTTGCTTGAGGAGCGCAATTCCTTGATCATCGCTACCTGTAATGACAATGTCATCAACATACACAACAAGATAAATACATTTGTTGCCAGCAGAATGTTTGTAGAATATAGAATGATCAACATCACTGCGAATCATGCCAAAGCTGCAAACAACGGCACTGAACCTCCCAAACCATGCACGTGGAGATTGCTTCAAGCCATATAATGAACGACGTAATCTGCACACCATACCAGACTCCCCCTGAGCAACAAATCCATGTGGTTGCTCCATGTAAACTTCCTCGTGCAGATCTCCGTGAAGGAATGCGTTTTTAATATCCAATTGGAACAATGGCCAGCGGCTCATTGCTGCCATGGATAAAACCAAACGAACTGATGCAATCTTCGCTACAGGAGAAAAAGTGTCAGTGTAATCCAAGCCATATATCTGAGTATACCCTTTCGCCACAAGGCGTGCTTTAAAACGATCAATCTCCCCATCTGGCCCAACTTTAACCGTGTAAATCCACCGACATCCCACCACTGATTTGCCAGTGGGAAGGGGGACTAAGTCCCATGTCCCACTAGAATGGAGAGCCTCCATCTCAGCCAACATGGCTTTACGCCACTCCGGGTGTGCCAGTGCCTCATGTGTGGTTTTAGGAATGCATATATGAGATAGGTGGGAAATAAAGGCATAGTAAGGGGTAGAGAGGCGGTGATAACTCAAAAAGTTATATATGGGATGTGGATTCAATGTGGAACGCGTACCTTTTCGGAGAGCAATTGGCAAATTATCCCGAGTGGTGTCAAGTGCTGGAGTAGGTGATGGTGGTGATGCAGGATCCGTCATAGGGGAATCAACGGGCGTGGCCACGATGGGCTCAATGGGAGGAGGTCGAGGACGTCGATGGTATACCTGTAATGGACGATCTGACATAGGAGGGCAGTTTGGGTGCTCATCAGATGGGGGGTTAATGGGAGGTTCCTGATGGATGGGCCGAAGATATGAGGTGAAGTCTAAACATGATGGGGTATTAACTGAAGATAATGGATAATAAAAGGACGACTCAATGAAAGTGACATCGGCTGAAATAAAATGTTTCTTAAGTAATGGAGAATAACAACGATACCCCTTTTGGAGTCGCGAATATCCAAGAAAGATACATTTTATTGACCTAGCCGCCATTTTAGCTAATCCTGGTGTCGTATCATGGACAAAACACACGCACCCAAACACATGAGGTGGTAATGGAAATAAATCACGAGCAGGAAACAAAAGAGAATAAGGAATTTCATTATTAAGAACTGAGGAAGGCATTCTATTTATTAAATGACACGCAGTGAGCACGGCATCTGCCCAATACTGAGGTGGTGTATGAGAATGTAATAATAGGGTACGAGCAGTATCAACCAAGTGCCGGTTCTTGCGTTCAGCAACCCCATTTTGTTGAGGCGTGTGAACACAAGAAGATTGGTGAAGCATACCCCGTGATGTCATGAATTGATTAAAGGATGCCCCAAAAAATTCTTTAGCATTGTCACTGCGTAAAATTTTGATAGAATGACCAAACTGAGTTTGAATTTCAGCACAAAAAGTTTGAAAAATATGAAACAATTCAAAACGCTCTTTCATTAAAAACAACCATGTGTAACGGGAAAAATCATCCACAAAAATAACAAAATAACGGAAACCTAAAGTAGAAGTGACTCGATACGGACCCCATACATCTGTATGAACTAAATCAAACGGTGATGTAGCCCGGTTATTGACTCGCCTTGGAAAGGATTTACGAGGTTGTTTTCCAAGGTGACATGACTCACAATCTAAAGATGAAAGATTGGAGAAACCTGGAACCATACGTTGAAACTTTGAGAGACTAGGATGACCCAGACGATTATGTAAGGTAATAGCAGGTTCAACTGAAACACAAGCGATTGGATCAAGAGGATGGAGGTGATATAGACCTTGAGATTCATGGCCGACGCCAATCGTTTTCCCCGTACAACGGTCCTGCACAATCACAGAATCAGCAGAAAATGTTACGGAACAATTAAGAGCACGTGTAATTTTACTGACAGAGACAAGGTTAAAAGGGGTGTTTGGGACATATAAGACTGAGTCTAATGGTAAGGATGAAAGTGGAAGCGCTTGCCCAATACCCGAAGCCGAAGTTTGAAGGCCATTAGCAAGAGTAATCAAAGGAAGATGTCGGTGCTTGGTAATATGGGATAAAAGATTGGGATTACCAGAAATATGGTCTGAGGCACCTGAGTCAATTATCCATGAGCCTGCTGTGTTTGAAACGCAAGCGGTAGACATCCCCGTTGTAGATAATGGCATATTAGTCAACTTAAATTGCTGATATGCTGCATATTCTTCTGGAGACAGAACAATGGGAGATGGTGGGATCTGAGCAACGGTGACTGGGGTAGGAGGTCTCCCATGTAATTTCCAACACCTGTCTTTAGTATGACCAATTTTATGACAAAAATCACATTTAGGACGGTTCCGTCTTGAGAATCCGGTGTTGTTTCCTCCGTCAGAATTCATAAAAGACATTTTTTTCTCTCTCTTTTTTTTTTTTGTTTTTTTTTTGTTTTTTTTTTTTTTGTTTTTTTTTTGTTTTTTTTTTTAAAGAGCAGCAAAAAGTAAAATATTTAAAGTAGTGCAACTGCAATTAAATTGAAGTGAAGCAGCCGTAAGGTTTCCCAGGCAGCTGGTTGAAGCACTGTAGCTACACAAGGATGAAGAAAACAGACCTCTATCTTCTTTGGGAGATGCGGACGAACGGCGCAGGGAGACTGCAGGGCGGCTGCGGCGAGCGTACGACACAGGGAGACGGCGGTCGACGGCGGTCGACGGCGGCGGCGTGGTTGACGGCGGCGGCGCGCGTGGAAGCGGCGGCGGCGCGTGTGGAAGCGGCGGCGGACCGGACTGACTGGTCTAGGTCGTCAGGGACCTAGGTATCTGAAAAACCTGTCGGTGTCGCTCGCAGATCACTAAGACGGAGCAGATCTGCAAAGATGTGTACCTGCAGGTGCGGACTTTCAGCGACCGACGGCGGCGCGTGGGTGAGGCAGCTGCGGCGAAACTTCCGGCGGTAAGTCGCTATGTAGAGTTGAGCACGATGGTAGGCTTGTATCACTACCAAAAGCACTCAAGTGAGTTGCGACCACTATTCACGCCGGAAATTATGGCCTGAACTTCTGTCCGGATTCGGAGCGGCAGTTTATAAGGCTAACTAGCTAACTATATTTGCCGTATAGGCTCTGATACCATGTGAAATATAAGATTGTATTCATTATACTTCATATGAAATCCTATACAAGAAGCTATATTTATAGCTATATTTAGAGTACTAGGGTTTCCTATACAAGATATACAAAATGGGCTAAGCCCAATACTAGTAGGGTTTCCACAGATATACAGTATAATTTCAACAGATCCCTGCCAAATTGGACTTGGAAAATGATCGGTAGGATTCTTGAAAGAAATGTAGGAAATAATGAATAGTAGATTATTAGCGGTATAGGCAGCAAAGCGACAAAACCAGTAAAGTATCAACGCACATCAATGAAGCAGAAATCAGAGGAGTTCTCCTGACATCGTAAATGGCTATAAGGCCTTTGTATGGTTCTTCCCCATCTTTGTATGACACAGCTAGGCGTTCTCCTGAGGCATCCCATGCTATCCTCTCAACCCCTACACTGTATCAAATAAAAGAAAACCTAAAATACTTAAATGAATTAGAGCTACCCGAGTCAAAATAGAAGGGGAGGGTGTCAATGTACACATGTAGATAAACTATGTCTATCAATCTCTCACTAAAAACAAAAACAAAATAATGTAGACTTAACTCCGAGCCACCAAAAAGTATAGTAACATTTTTCATTCACATTTCACCATACAACAATCTAAAAAATACAGAAATACAAAGCTACCATTTTTCAGATAAGTCTTAAACTCCTAGAAAATTGCTAAAAATATGATGCATCAAGCCAAACATAGAATATTTAAAAATTAAATATTGTGGCTCCCACTTGAAGAAATAGTTAAGAGGATAGGCAACATATGGAAACATCTAAATTCTAAACCAATACATCACTGACAAATACCTTCCAGTTATGGATTGTATCTCTGGCAAGTCCACAGGAATGAGATGTGCATCTGAAAAAAGACCATTACTTCATTAGACAGGCAAGTTTCAGACTTCAATTCCACATGCAACCATATTTGGACAAGAAAGCATCAAATTACAAACTGCCACCTCAAAAGCACAGTAGTTAAAAACAGTCGATCCACTTGCATCAATATATTAGGATACTCTTTGGGAAAGCCTTGTTTCATTGCAAGGTTTTGGCACTCTTATCAAGAAATTTGTTGGAAAGAAAGAAAAAAAGTGGATGAGATTTGGGAAAAATGATAATGATAAGAACATGTGTTTTTCCTTAAAAGAAAACAGGGAGATTATTTTGGGATGAAACAATCAACTAAAAAGAAAAAAGGGATGTTTATTTCAAAACAGAGGGGAGTGATACGCGATTGTGCAAGAAAAGCTTAAGAGAACTTTGCACACACAAATATATAAATACATATACATATGTGTAGGATACACACATGAAATGTTGATGAGTGTAAATGAAGTTTAAATCTAGTGTAATGCTAATGATCTTTGAGAGATGTACATGAAAGGCATGAGATATTGTATAAAAGAAGCTTAAGAAAATGGAAAGTTTTCTTTTTGAATAGAAGACATAAGCATGAATTTTCAACTTAGGAGCTCACTCTAAGTGATAATAAACAAAGTGGGAGGATGATGGTAGTCATATCATAGTATAAGAACTCATCAATTACATATTTGAAAAACTACTATTCCTTTCAACAGTAGCTATTTTTTTGGAAAATAAAGTTAAATTTAACTGAATAAGAGAAAGGAACATAAAATACCCAGTGATGGGGGCTTAGTGGAAAAATGAATGGAACCTAAGGTTGAGGAACCAGAAAATGCAATAAGTATCTTTCTACCATCAGGATCCCATGCTGCTCCCTGCACATAAATTATACAAATTAACCAGCTCATTTGACAGCAGAAATACAGGGTGATTTCAAAATAACTTCCTTGTAATATGTTTTACATAGAAACATGGCATAGCAGTTTCTATGAAGTACTAGTACTTACTAATTTATCATAACATATGTATTCAAAACAAGAGTTATATATCCATTTACCAATACATTAAACAACAAAACATTAGGAAAAGACGCTGATTTGATTCATATTATTGTCATCTAAAGAAGCAAACAAATAAAAAATCATAAAGGGAGAAAGAAAAGGCACACTTGGAAGGCAGTGACAAGTCGCATCAGCATTTATCTTTAGGTTTTTCTTTCTCTTGTTTGATTTGGCTACTCAAATTAGGGAAAAGAGATGGGGTTGTACGGGAATATTGCTTTGATGGGAAAAAAAATTGGTTGTTGCCATGAATGTATATTCAACTTCAAAACGACACCATTCACTTACAAGCCTTTCAGGCGAGGTGACCAGCTCCATGGATGGCTAAGTTTTGCCTAGCCATTGCGTAGATGACGCCATGACAACCATTATTGTCTCTTATATCTTCATTATTTCTTTATCATCCCGGAATTATCTATTATTTCCTAAGAAGGTAAGGATTGTCATTGATATTGTTTCTCTCTTCTAAATAAATTTCAACTACACAGGTTCCACTTTCTTAAGAAGTATACAAAGCCAAAAATAAGAGAAATAGAGAGGGGGGGAGGGAGTACAAAAAAGATGTTTGTATTTGTTTGTACACAAACATAATTGCCCACCTGGATTTATACTGTCGAATTTCTCCTTTTATGATGGTGGACTATTTGGGAAAAAATAAACAGATGGTGCTTTAAGAGTGGTGATTCGAGAACATAGAATCCGCACTCACATTTCATTCGAGATATCATTAATATTATTCTAAAGTTTAAATATATGCTAATGTGGTGGCATACAGCAGTTCTGGACTTCACAAGTTTGCTCTCAAGTTCACATATTCAGTCAAAGAACCATTTGGTGCCTTGCAGTAAAATATCTCATGTCAAAAATTAAATAGAAGAATGACGCGTAGAAAGGAAAGCAAGTAAGCAACAATTCCTATTAATCATAGATGAACAGCATATTTGTGACTTACTGTAACAAAGCCATTTGCCGAGGACCATGGTTCTGACGTCCATGTGTTTGTCTCCCAGAGATAAAATGTCCCATCACTGAAAATTTAAAATTTTGGCAAGGGTATGGAAGGGGAGAGAGTTAGAATCTGTTTTCAAACATAAAATATTTTATTCTTTTTTAGGCTTTAAAGTAGTTGCACAAGACAATGATTTTTTTAACTTTACAATTTGGCAGCAAAGAAATAATCTCCAGACGGGGACCATTTGAGCAATGATATACCCCCTAAGCCACGCCGTATGGGTGTGCCCTCTCCTGTATAACAAAACATTCAACTTTTAAAGAGTTATAAATTGAAGTGCGCTGTTTAGATTTTAGAATAACTAGAAAGGAGGGTCCAATAGAATAAAATGATAAAAGGAGCTCAGAGGCACATCCATTTTGCAAGAAAATATGTCAAGCCTTCGATTTCTAACTCTCTAGGGGCCAGCCAGCAGTTAGGGTAACTACTGTAAGTTAGCATCAACTTGACCAGTGCTACTAAAATTAGTGATATAATAAGATGGCTTTATAAGCTGGTTCTTAGTATGTAGCTAAAGCTTCACATCTTCCAAAAAAAGAACAAATTCTTTTCTAGACTTGGTCACGTAAAGAAGCTGTTAGTCCAAGTTGTCAGTCTTACCCTCAAAAGACAACAAGAAAATAATGGGCACACTAAACCCACCAAGGTCACCATAACTTATGTCTAAGTTACTGCTTCAATAAACAGATATATTCTGTTTGTGTAAGACTGTCTATAAAAAAAATCTTCTGAAGAAAAAACATACATACCTTGAGCAACATCCCATATGGTGAATGAAGGATTCTCAAAGGAAGCTGATGCTAAATATGTTAAGTTTTGTTAAGGAAGGCAAAAAATGTTATTTTATCATTCCACATACAAAAATCAAGCGCATTTACGCATTAATGAAGTGCACCGATGTACAATGACATGTTCTCATTGTAGCTGTATCTATTACCTAGCGAGAAATATATGCACCTTAAATGACATTCTTACCATTTGTTCAGATGAATAACATAATCAATGATATGGCAACATGGCTAAGTGGATAATAACTAACCAGATGATAGAATCTAAAGTCAAAGAAATTTAAATCACGAATATCTGGAAAGTAGCATACAGATGGGTGAATATTGAGTTAGTAGGGAAGACAATGAAACTATGGATATGAGATCATTTTTCTCGAACTATTTCCCTATAACAGTGAGCCTATGATGTAACATCCATGCATGAAATGAAGGTCTACAACAAGCAAACTTTATGAGTAGTACTTAGGCTTACAATCATTAACTATCATTATGTGAAAATATACTAGGCAGTGCCATTCACTACATAGCTGATAGTTGTTTGCATTTAACTATAGTGTTGAGAGGACCAAGGGGTTATAAATATAATCAAACCGCGCAACTTTTTTGTCAGGAAATGGTTTCAATTTATAGTGCGCAGGCATGAGTTGCCTTTGTATTGTTTGGATAAAATCAATAGACAGCAATGAAAATGTTCAGATGATATCCCCTCTGACCAACTCTTTTGTTCAGTAAATGCTTTCACTTCAATCTTCTCTAATGGGCGCACAGCTCAGTTTGGTTAACTAACATGAAAATGTCCTTATAACATGATATGGTTCACCCAGTTTCACTTGTATTATACAACAATGAATTTTAAATGTTCCCTTGGCATTAATGTAACTAGCAGGAAAAATGTGGTCCTAACTTTTCAATGTGACTGCAAATGCAAAAGAAATCTAAAAGCAGCAGGCAATCAAAAGGAAAAAACCACAAATATCCCAACTATTGCTTACGTGCAAAAGAAATCTGAAACCAACCGAGCATAGAAGAGGTCAAAGCCAAAATTAATAAAGCAGTTGTGCCATACAAAGGAACACTTAATGCAGGACAATGGTTATAAGGACGGTAATAGGATATCTTCCATTAGGGCTCCATGACAGTGTGCTAACTTGTTCATCCTCATGAGTTCGAAGGAAATCCACAAGAGTCCATCTACTACCAGAACCTCTAGATAGGGTGCCCAATGTAACTCCAGATCTTACTGAAGCTGCATTTCCTGGATATGAAGAAGCCCAGATGCAAATTCCACCTCTGTTCAAGATAATTGAACAAAACCCAGTTAAAGAGTTAAAGAAAGATAACGTCAAACTAAACAAGACAGTTTAATAGTAAACCAAAGGACCAAAATGTAGCAATGCCCCGAGACTGACTTGCAGGCAACCGAAAGTGTCCTCCCACCATTTGGTCTCCACTGAAGACTTCTAACATCTTTTTGAGATTCATTGATCAAAATTGACGGATTCTTCCCATCTGTAAATTCATTTTAGGTTTAGGGAATCAAATGAAATTGATGTACTTGAGAAGAATATCTAAATTGCATGCAAGGCCTAAGATAGCACAGATATTGAAAAAAAGTAACTGCTAACCTGAATCCCCATAATCAGAAATTGTGACTTGGTGAGTTCCAGAAATGAATGCTAGAATACGTTTATGTTGGTGCCAACTTACGCCACAAACATCAATGGCGGGTAACAATTTCACCTGGAAAATGCACACCGAAAATGAAGAAACTAAACAACAAATTTTCCTATCAGCAAATGACACAATTCTAACTGCACAACTGCTACTCAAAGTCGGTATCTTTTTCCAGTTCATAATCTTCAGGTATGACAGTCATAATAGGAAAAACAAGTTACATCAGCTGGGTGAAAGAAGTGCTTAAGTGAACCCGAAGACACCGCTTTCAGTGCTGCCCAAAGCAAACCACTCTGCTGCTCTTCTGATGCTGCATCATTGCTCGGCCCAAAACCTTGTAGATTCTCGAATTGAAACGGAACAGGGCTGAATACCACTCCCTGCAATACGTAACCAATTTGAATCATTATAACCTTGGTACTATGGAAAACATCAATTTCTGATTAGAAGTGATTCCAAGCATCATTGGGGCTTACAAGAAGTTTGCCATATGTCTCCTTGGCACGAGCGTCGGAATTTTCATCGGCAGTAACTGTGGCATTTGCGAAAAGGATATGTTAGATCGTCTCAAAAGCTTTTAATGTGCTGATTCAGAAACTGGCCGAAAGGCGTTCGTATACACAATTACAATTAACTTGATGAGTTCGTAGTGCATACTAAGGTCCCGATTAATTTCGCAGACGGTGACTGAGCCCACCGGAGGAAACGACGGCATTTGAGCTCCCAGACCAAGTGTGTGCTCGCGTAGGGTTTGTTCCCGCCACCGTTTTGGGAAATTTATACCCTGCTCTGTATTTGTTTGTAAAATAAAAAGTTTTTGGGAGTTCTTTTTACAATTTTAATTTAGATTGGGACTAAAAGCATGTTCATTGAACAATTTTAAAAATGTTATTCTTACTTTTTACTCCGTAGTTATTATAATAGAATAAATTTTTTTAATAATCTCAAATTTTGTTTATGTTTCTCAACTATCATCTAAAAAAACGGTTTATAGGCATTAACCTATTATGAGCCCGTTGCGGATTCTGTTTTCTGGTTTATCAACCAAATTTTTTACCAAATACATAACTATCGACTCCACGTGCTGAATTTTATAATAATAAAAAAAAGTAAGGTTGAAGTTCCTTTTCAGGCTGTATTGACTGAAGTTGTTGTAGAAGGCTATTTTAAGGGAAAACTGTCAAATAGGTCCTCGAACTTTCATAAAAAGGTCAATTAAGTCCTTCTACAGGAGGTTCTGCCCGGCCGTTGCGATTTGGGGCAGTTCCCAGTGGAATTTTTTGATGAAATTTTTTGAGCATCTTATTCACCAAGTCTAGTTTACTTATACCAAATTTCAGCTAAAAGTTCAATCGGGAACACATTGAAATTAATTATTGAAGATAACTGCGCATTTTTGCGTTCTCGAATTAATTTGAATGCGATCCCGATTAAATTTTTAGCTGAAATTTCGTATGAGTAAACTAGACTTGATGAATAAGATTCTCAAAAAATTTCATCAAAAAATTCCACCGGGAACTGCCCCAAATCGCGATGACCGGACAGAGTCTCCTATAGAAGGACTTAATTGACTTTTTTATGAAAGTTCGAGGACCTATTTGACACTTTTCCCCTATTTTAACTATTTTTCATGTATCTTCCAAAAAAAACTATTTTTTCATATAATTTTTTATTTATTTTATTAATAAATATATTTAAATATCATTTTTTTCATAATTCAGCAGAATCGGTCAATCCGGCAACTTCAGTCGGAACATCATAAATTTCAGCAGAATCAATCGAGCTCAGTGTTACCAAACAGACTCTATATATACTTTTCAAATAATCTTAAATAATTTAGATTCATTTTTCATGCAGGAATATTCTAGCAAATAATAAATCTATATAACCCAATGATGCTCGTATAAAATAGACACATCACTTATCTAATCTCTTAATGATTTTATATGAATGAAAATGTCCCAAGGATAAATTGTTTTATGCATTCATTGGATATTGATAAGTTACATGCATATCCCATAAATGTTCAACACTTAAAAATGTATCAAAAAAGTAACCAGACTTATTATTTAATTTTAGGTTCACTTTACTTATTTTCTATTTATGAAACAGATTTGGCTTTAAACAAAAGTCATGTTTACATTGGATAGCTTTGAAAACCTCTAATGACAATTTGGGGGAATATCATTGCTCAATTGGTCCCCCGTCTGGAGATTATTTATGTGCTGCCAAATTGTAAAGTTTAAAAAATACCATTAGCTTGTGCAACTACTTAAAGCCTAAATAAGAATAAAATATTTTAAGTTTGAATATGTCCTTCATGTTTTTAATTGATTAGGTGAATCATAATAATAACAATTACATAATAATTTGAGTATATGACAAGACAAATATACATTCTTTTCATTTTATGAGTTCAGTTACCAAAAACAGAATAATTAAACTAAACTAAATGTTTTATTTTGATCTGTTTAAATTCAGTATAGTTGAAACGATCTAATTTGGTTTGGCATGGAACCACTCCATACCACCATTTTCTTTACTGTCCATCAGCTTGAAGTCTTGAACCACACCATGTTTCATCAAATCCGAATAATTAGGACTTTCTACTAAATTTTAATTCTGGCAAGTGGCAGAAAATAAAGAATATACTTATATACCTGACCCAATTGGTTTTTGTGCATATGAAATCAAGAATACCATCAACTAGGAAAAAACATTATATCTATAACCAAGTCACAATTGAGTGGAAATGCACCTTTTGAGTGGAAAGTCACTATTCTATCCCATTTGGTGATCTTTTTTCGGCTCATAAGCCTAACAAGCTTATCAACCAACTTTTTCACCAAGAACGTAACTTTTGATTTCGTGCGCTGAATTTTGTAATAAGCAGAACAAAGTAAGGTTGGAGTTACTTTTCTGGTTGTATTGACTGAAATTATTGTAAAAGATCATTTTAGTTATTTTTTTCATATAATTATATTAAAATCATTAATAACAAATATTTTAAATATAATTTTTTTCATGAATTAGCAGAATAACCCAATACACCCACTTCAGCCAGAACTTCATAAATTTCAACAAAATCAACCAATTTTAGTGTTACCAAACAAGCTATACATATTAATTGATAGAATATATCTCATTATCTATTATTCCTTCAATTGTTATAAAGTACTCCACTAAATACATACGGAGTACTACGTATCTAGATTCTAGAATCCTACGATCCTACATTCCTACCCCTACAAAGCCCAACTCCCAAACTGGCCTTAAGAGCTCCTTGTGTAATTGAGCCATTGAGGTGCTTATCTGGGTAAGCTCATCAATTCATCATCATTCGAGAGCCATGCTGGAATTACAATAAGAGCAGAGGGAGAAATGAAGAAAAAAATATTTTTAAATATATCCATTTAAAACTCAAATGATGACTATAAATCTATAATTAATGGCACGAGATTACAACAAACAGGTAAAAAAACATCTATCAATTTTGCAAATATCTTATTCATCCATCGAGCCTTGGAAGATGGTAGCCTAACTAGACTTAGATCCTCCGAGATATATATATTAATGTAAATAGATATATTATATAAGCAAGTCTTACACATGAGAGAGCTTTCCAACTGGCTAGATTAAGATATACAGTCATATTCAAAATCCCTCGGTTGCTCTCTTCTTTTTCCAAAGAGAAAGAAGCACTTCAATGCCTTCCCTCAGGTTAGCTTTCCTACCTTGTACATAGTTCCAAAGCTCAGTTACTATGTACCTCCCGCTCGGGTTGTGTTCGTTTACCTCGAGCCATGCATCTGTTACAGCCTTGCATACTTCCTCCCCATAGTTCTTCTTCAGGTCTTTCAGTTTTTCATCTTCTTCATTTATTAGAGCCTGCAAACCCATGTGTTCTCAGTTCAAATCCAATTTTTTAGAAGAAAAAAAACTAAACTAGCCATGTTTGGAACACAAAAACATGAAAGAGAAATGGGGAAAGAAAGTAAAGGTCCATTTGAAACACAGAAAAAGTTAGATAAAGAAAATATAGGAGAAATTTGGAAGATGATGTGAGGGAACAAAAATGTACGGTATTGTTTAAACTCATTTTATATCTACTTTATGACTATCATAAGAATAACATGGAATCAAACATACAAAAAATAATCTCATAAGCACTAATTTATTTCGTTTTCATTTGCATTTTTTGTGGTAAAAAGAAAAAAAAAAATAACTTTCAAGGACATTCTTTTGGCTTTTACTAGCATTTTCTTGGACCCAATATATCCTTTAGAAAATATGTATGAAGAATTATTTTGTTGTATAGTTATGTATAAATTTTACGTATTTATACACAAAGAGAATTTGAAAAAAAATAAAAAACTGATTTAGTGAGATTGATAAATATCTATACTTCTCTTTTATTTCAAACTTCGCCTCCACGCTTCATCCTATTTTCTTGCCCTAGCATTTTCCCAGTTACAACTTACAACTCTATATTTTTGGTATGAATGAGCAATTATATGACATAAATCATAATTATATTTTAAATGTATTTGTTAGTTTAACTGAGTCTTTAGTGCGCGTTTGGTAAGGACTATTTGGGCAAAATGCTGAACTTCCGCAAGGATAATTGTGGTAAAGTTGATAACGACCAAATAAGTCACGATTATTGAGCAGAATAAGCAGAGCAAGTCAAGCAATACTACTAAAAGGAGCCCTAACTCATATGTGATTCTTTTTGGGCAAATGACATAAAAAAGCTTTGTTTGGTAGATATGACTTCCTAGACACAACAAGGTTTAGAAACATGGCTTTTGGGATGGATGAAGTAACATGTGCATCAGAAGCATACCTCGTGTTTATTCTCTTGACCATCAACAGATACAACTTTGATGGGATGCCATCCGGGATCTCTTAGGTACTCCTCCCATAATGAACAGAGCTCAGTAGCCCTATCGTCAGCTTCTGCCTCACAATACTTCCTTCGGATTGCTTCTTGAAATGGCCTGGAATCAAGCTCCCCCATCCGCTTCACCCCAATAGCACAAGTTCTTGGATAATCTTTCAAGCCCTACAATGCAATTAAGTAAAAAGCTAGTTAAAAATGAACAATTCTACTCCTCCAGTCCCGTTATGGTTTATTTGAAAACTGAAAAATGCTAGGCAAAAGAAATTAACAAAAATAGAGATGAAATTGGGAAGGGAAGCAAATTTGGAGAGAGTAAGTTGTTTCAAACCATATACTCCCTCCGTTTCTAAAAGAACCTCACACTTTCCTTTTTTGGATGTGCCAAAATAAAAGTCACACTTCCCTTATTTCCTTATTTGGCAAAGAAATCTACATCCAAACAGTGCCAAACAGTGTCCAAACAGTGCCAAACAGTGTCTAAACAGTGTTTTCTACAGTAAAGTCAATTTATTTCCTTAATAACTGTGAAGTCAAACCGTGACTTTCTTTTAGAAACGGAGGGAGTATTTATTAGGATAGTTGTTTGAATTTATTATATTAAATGCTTAGAAATGTAACTTTGTACAGTATAATATTAGAGAATTCTAATCGTATCTGATTTTGTGTTTTATTTTCCAAGGCAAAACAAACATGAATTCTTGGTTTTAATTTCAAACACAGACTTAAACTACTGCAGCTTTACCTAGTATTTGGCCCAGAATCCAACACCATTCTTACGCTTAAAAAGAGAAAAGATACACTAATCAAATAACACGTACATTCCCATCATTTACGATGAAGCCAAAGATTCACTATTTGTTTGGCTTGAGAATATGATGGAATAAAGCAAAATGGCTCATTAAACTGTTTGCGCTTCTTTGTTATGAAGCAATAAGTCTATGCAATTTTGGACGCGATTTTCACTATGGGTCATCCGGAAGCAGTCTCTCCGTGCTTTAGTACAGGGGTAAGATTGCGTACATCCGACCCTCCCCCCTACCCTACCGTAGGTGGGAGCCTTTGTGGCACTGGGGTAATGATAATGATGATGATAATGAATCAAATGACGCACACTTAAAGAATATACTCAGTCTAATGTGGAACCCAAATTGGGAGAAACCGAGAAACCACATATCTTTTCCGGCTAAGCCAAGCCAAAATAATCCTTACTGTGGTGTTCTTCTAGAGTTCTTGATACATGCACTGATGTACATAATGCTCTTGGAACGCGTGAATTGGCTCTAGTAAGCTTTAAACCGTCAAGTCTAGGCAGAAAAAAATAGAAAGTAATCTCTTCTTACAAAACATATTATCCAATTTATAGGGAATACAAGTTAGGGGTCTCCACTTTCAGCCAAATGGGCCACCCAGAGAACCCTATGTTTTGGGCCTGACACCAATTACCCCAACGCACTTAAAGTGAAGGGGAACTTTCCCCTCCAATCTGACCCATAAGTAATATCATAGAACTAGAAGCACTTACATTGATCAGCTCTTTACGAGCCTCTTGTAGCTCATCATTGCTCTTCCGTTCCTTAACAATTAGAGTTTGGTTTAGTGCTTCCACAGCTTCAAGCTCTTCTTCCTTTTCTCTTATACTCTTAATCAGTTCATCCACCTTCTGAAGAACTTCCTCATCACCTTCATCTCCCATGTGTTTCATCACATTTAGTGTTCCTCTCAGTTGCTCAATTTCCAGCTCAGCTGCCTGTTTTGCATCTAGTTGTTTCTCAAGTGTAATTATTTTTCTGTGAAGCTCTTCTTTTTGCCTCTGTCATAATCAATATTCCATAAAATGAAAGTAGGAATTTAACACTTCCACATAATATCAAAACAAACTATTTAAATAAAGTAGACAAACCTTCTGTTCTTCAGCTAATTTCATCATTTTTTCATCAGCTCTCTTTTGCTCTTCCGTTGCAGCAGAAATTGAACTGTTTAGGAGAGCATTCTGGAACACAGGAAATTACATATCTGATAAACTATATTTGGAGTAAAGGTTATTATATTTTTGGCAGATAATTAGAGACAAAGAGCATCTGCGATGAAAAATAAAAATATCACCAAAACTATATTCTAGTACAGGTAATTTCAAACAATTTATAAGACTATAAGAGTAATGGGTATCAGTTGAAACTTGCTATAAGAGCAATGATTTTTTTGCACCAACACACATACCATATATTCATAATTTTATTCATTTCTAAATGGAAATTATTACATTTTATATGATTAAGATGCCACTTGGTATCAGTGGGTACAAAACTACAAATATCATTTCTTGCTACTAAGGTCACTTTCTGTCTGCTTTGTATAGATCTTATTTGTAGAGAGCATTTGGGTGACTTACTTTCAAGAAATAAGTGCTTTTAGAGTATGAAAAGTACTTTTACTTCAAAATGAGGTACTTGACATATAAAATAGAAAGTGTGCTTTTAATCAGAAAAATACTTTTAGGGCCAGTTTAGTTTGGGCTATTTGATTAAAATGACTATATATGTTGCATTTTCTGAAAGGAAAGTGACTGGTAAAGCCAATTTCAGCCCAATAAGTAACTCAAGTAATTGTTAAAGCCTATTAATTCCACTTATTAGTGCTAGAGTAAGAAAGCAGCAGTATGGAGATTTTTAGAGAAGTACTTAAAGTGCTTAAATGAGAAAGCACATATACCACAGGTTATCCTAGAAAGCCTCTTAGTCTTTAACATTATAAAAAATCAATTGGACACTTCACTATTACAGTCTTGCTAAAAAACATAAGAACAGAACAGAATAACTTTAAGCAAAACAGTGGTACCTGTTCACGCTCTTCCGTGAGTTTCTTCCTATCAATTTCATTTCGAGCCTCACGTTTCTCTAGTTCTGCACCTCGGGTTTCAAGCTGTTTCTTTTGGGTTTCCAGTTGCAACAATTGCCTCTCGTGGTCATTAAATATCCTCTGCAAATGATCCCGTGCATTTGCCTGGATCTTTTTTATCTCTATTAATTAGGCCGCACAAAAAAAAAAAACAGAAAACGCCATGATACATGTTAGTAGTTTAGTAAAATTGTCATAATAAGTTACTCCCTATGTCCCTATTTATTTGTAAACTTCATCCAATACACTGATACAACAACATCCAAACCTTAATCCCAAAAAGATATGTCCCACTCGGAAAAAATAATTAATCATAATTAATCTCAATTTTCCAAAATCACCTCCATATATAGACTCACTCACTACACATTTCATCCGATGTGTTCCATGTTTAATTTTGAATGATAAAAAAGGAAAAGCATAAGCAATGCATCATGAATTTACTAAATGGGCATGAGAAAATGAAAACCAAAATTCCAAATAAAGTGGGAAAATAAACACGAAAAGGGGATAGGTAATACTCCCTCCGTCCCAGCTTAAGGTTCTCACTTTCCTTTTATGGGCGTCCCGGCCAAAGGTTCCCATTTCTATTTTAGAAAATAATTGGCACTCTTAAATGACAATTTAATCATCAAATTTTAATAAATAATACATCTATAACATCATAGTTATTATCAATGAACTCATTATATTATATACTCATCAAAACTATTTATCAAAAACTACTCCAATTATCTTATTTAATTATTGTCTAAATAATTGTGCCATTTTGCAATTGAACCTTAAGACGGGACGGAGGTTGTAACTAATAAGTTAGTCAGTTCTGATAGTCCGCATCAAAATACTCGCCTTCATTATAAGCATGATCAAGCTTTTCTTTTTCTTTAACCAAAATGGTGAGAGACGCAGACGTCTCCTGAAACTTGCTCTCCATCTCCTTCAAATGCAAGGTTTTCTCTTCAATAACATTTGTCAAATTAGACACAAGCTTGCTTGCCTTCCGAGCTTCTTCCTCCATTATATCAGAAACAGTTCGAAGGTCACCAATTTTCCTCAGGTTTTCACCAACAATGTTGTTTGCTTTATAGTCATCTGCCCGTGCTACCCATGCATAAAGATCAGACTTTTTCTCTCCATTATTGTCAGCTAGCCAGTCCTTCTTCCCGTGATGAGATGCCTCATAAGCCTTGTCAAACGCCATGGCATTGCTGAACCCTGACCAATCTTTGTGAAACTCAACGAGGGCAGTTCCAGAATGTCCCTGGTAATTCCATAGGGGGCGCACTCTTGTCGGATTGAAGCCTCTCCTTATGTATTGATCCCTCAGTTTAGAACCGCTCTCCCCAACGTAACGCCCCTCCTTCAATTGCTTTGGAAGGTTCACAACAATTCCAATCCACGGCCAAACAAACATCTCGTCACGGTCACAATCTGCTAAAGCATCTGCTTCAACCTCATCTTTTGCTTTTGATTGGCTGGCAGAAACAGCGACGTCATTTTGCAAGTACTTTGCCAGTGCGAGATGGTTCGCCTTGTCCCTTGGGGTCCGTTTGTTTGAGTTGCAACTGCCCACTCCATTTGCATGCTGCAAGAGATCACTGAAAGCAAAATTTCTCTTTCTTTTCTTGGAGCAATAAGGGCAGATGTAGGATTCGTCCGATGCCTTAATGGAACGACGCCCACATTTCAGTTCTTCATATGATTTCTCTTCGTATTCCTGTACCTCAGAATCACTTATATCCGTGTCTTCCCCAGAACTGCTATCCATTGAACAGCCTCCCTGCTTAAAAATTCACCATTAATACAAAAACATGAATAAAATAAATAAGGGTAGGCTCTCAAGTAAAGAGACCAATGCTGATACCAGAACTGCAGAAGTATCTGACAAATGTTTATAGGAAAAACTGTTTTTACATGTGCCATTTGTACACGCCCCTAGTGGTTGTGTACAAAGGTAACTCACAAAAAAATGCAGTTTTTTAGATAAATACATGGAGTTGTCTGTATGGCATGTAAAATAAGTGTGCAGATGCCCCCCAGCGTGTACACAAAGAATGATTCATATTTATAAATTGTTTTAGAGTTTATGTTTTGTCTTTTTTCTGGAGAAATGGTCACTTCTGCGTACAAAAATCTGCAAAAAAACTATTGGCACACATTTTTTGTACAACTCCCTACACACTATAAATACCTTCTACTTTTACCATTTCTTTTTTACATTTTACCCATTCCTCTTTGTGCTTTAGCACAGGGGTAAGGCAGCGTACATCTGACCCCCCCCTACCCCACCGTAGGTGGGAGCCTTTGCGGCATTGGGGTAATGATGAAGAATGAAGAAAGAAAGAAAGAAAGACTCATTCCTCTCCTCACCCTTTTTACATTTCACCCATTTCATTTTTACACTCTCTAAACTATATAAAAATATTTCATTTTTTCAGATAAGCGGCATCCCTGCATAAAAGTTCACTTTGCCTAAACATTAACAAAACTTAATTAAAAACAGATTTCACATTGTGATTTGTGATACACTGATACTCCATCCATCTCAGCTTAAGCTTATCACTTGCTTTTTTTGGACGTCCATGCTAAAGCTTCATATTTCTATTTTAGAAAATAACTAGCACTCTTAAATGACAAATTATTCATCAAATATTAAAAATAAATCAATAGTTGTCAATGGCGAGATATGGCGTGCGCCATATGCGCCATCGCCATGAAAAAATGGTCGTCGCCATATGCGCCATCGCCATGAAAAAATGGTCGTCGCCATAGCGTCATATGCGCCATTCCGCCCATTCGTACATGCGCCATCGCCATGCGCCATGAAAAATGCCTTTGTGCCATTGCGATGGCTATGCGCCCTGACAAGCTACCTCCGTCCTATTTTGTGTGCCCTACTTGGGTTTGAGACAATTATTAATAACATGGTTGAAAAAGTAAAAGTTGTGACTGAGATTTGAATATAATAAAGTGAAACGATGTAGAACACGTATTTCTTTCCAAAAAAAAAAAGAAGTGTCACACTTATTTGGGACAACCCAAAAAGGAAAGTAGCACAGGTTAAATGGGACGGAGGGAGCATTATATACCCATCAAAATTGCTTCTGAAAGGTATGCTTGAATTACATTATTTAATTATTTTCTAAACAACCATGCCATTTTTTATGAGTTGCCTAAGCCGGACGGAGGTAGTAGATATTAAAGTGCAAACGTTATAATGTAATAGATAGTTCTAAAATATTAAAAAAAAAAAAATTACATAGATTTTAAAAAATCTTAAACCATGCAGCTAAATTAGTCTGGTCTTAATAATGATTATTAGGAACGTGAAAATAAGATATTTACGGACTTGTTTATATCTTAGCAAATGCAGGGCTAGTAGAAGTTCAGTAAAGCAGTTTTCAGATTTGGAGTTTTTTACCACAGATCTAAAAAATCATTGCTTGAAGTGTAAAAATGGTGTTCCTGTATCTAGATAATTGAAACAAGATTTCACTAGTGTTCGAGAATACTTAAAATGGTGAAAGTTTAAGCAACAAAGGTAGAAAATGGTATACCTGGATGTGAAAGAATGGAGAATTGGGAGCAGGGAATAGGTCAGTGCTGAAATGCAGTAACTGTAGAAAGTAATTCCTGTTGAAACAGAAAGAGAAATAAACAAAAAAGTAGACCGCATCATACCATCATGCAATTACAGAATTGACCATCTCAAATCTTATCAAGTGCTGGAAAGTAAGAAATGTATATCAACCACATACGGGAGGGGGTTGATGACATAAACTTACAGAAGTACACGGACGAAGATAAGATGAAGATTACCCTGCTCCGATCAAAGGTTTGACATGAATTTGAATCCACACCCACAAGTGTGGATTTGCAGGAACCAGAATCTCCTGGTGAGCTACGATTGAGATGAGAGACTTTGACTGAAAGAGAATAGGGTTCCGATTCAGAGGAAAATATACACCGCAAATACAGTCACTGAATGAATGAGCTAAGCCAATTTGGTACTCCGTACGAAGTATTTTTTTTGGGATATAATAATGGGAATAATAAGTGAAAATCCTATCCTACTTTAAAAATAGGATCAAGTTTGTCACGTGAATAATGTCATTTATTAAACGGGATAAGTGTCAGTTTGGTCCTCGAAGTTGCAAAAAAGGGGTCAAATTTGACCCCTTTTTTGCAACTTCGATGACCAAACTGACTCTTTACTCTTTATTAAACCTTTACATTTTACCAGGCAGTTTTGTAAAATTGGCTGAACTGGACTGATTCTGCTGAATTATTAAAAAATTATATTTAAAATATTTGTTACTACCTCCGTTCTTTTTTATCAGTTCCCTTAGGGTTTGGTACGGGATTTAATAATAAAGTAGTAGGGTAAGTATAGAGTGTGTAGGGTAAATGATAAAGTAGGAGAGATGATATATTAAAAAGAGTAAAGTGGTGATAAAGTAGGAAAGAGAGTGAATTAAGAAGAGTAAAGTGATGGTAAAGTAGGAAAGAAAAAATAGTTTGTAAAAAGTAAGTGGGATAAAAGTAATAAAAGTAGAATATTTTCTCAAAAACTTTCCTTAAAGAGGAAGGAGACAAATAAAAAAACGTCCCAAAAAGGAAAGAAGGACTAATAAAAAAGAACGGAGGGAGTATTTGTTATTAATAAATAAAACAAAAAAATTATATGAAAAAATAACTAAAATGAGCATCTATAATAATTTCAGCCAATACAACCAAAAAAATAACTTCAACATTGCTTTTTCTTATTACTACACAATTTAACGCGCGAAATAAAAACTTACGTGTTTGGTGAAAAAACTGACTGATAAACCGAAAATGGGCTCACCAAACGGGCTCTATTAGAGTTTTATCCACCCCTAACCTTTCACCAATTGGAATTTGATCTAGAAGACTATTTAGCATTTACTTTAAATAGATGAGTTAGTATCATTTATTTTGTACAAACTTTACAATTAGGGGGTGAGAATTGCGACCACTGTTCTAAAAGTCGCTCTAGACGCCTGATTAGTTCCCGCCTAGGCGCTAGGCGGTGGTCGGGCGCCCCGATTTTTGTCTAGGCGCTCCGAGTAATTGGTTTGACGCCTAAGTGAATTAGTCGGCCGCCTATGACGCCTAGTTGCCCGCCCAAAGCGCCTAATCTCCGCTTAGGGCGTCTAGATTCATCAAACAGTTCTTGATTTTTAATTTTCTATTTGTAAGAGATATATGTACTTTTAACTTTAATCATGAATATGAATAAAGATACTTGTAAAGTAAGATAAAAACTATATATGTTTGTATATATATACTTAAATTTTATTATTATTTAATATTTATAACATAATGTAGTTAAGTGATTAGTTATCATATATTATTTCATGTGACAATTCAATCATGCATGCATGTTAATGTGTGTATATATTTTTCATACATACACAAACATGATACTACCATTTTATTATGTATTACTTATCATACTTATGCAAAAATATTAATAAAAATACAATTTATGTACTTCCGATTAGTCCCCGCCTAGGCGCCCGCCTAGCTGTCTAGGCGCTGGGTTGGCGCCCGACTAGAGCCTAACGCCTTTTAGAACCTTGATTGCGACTAATCCAAGGATATCCGCCCGAATCGCTCTGGTCAAACTGAGAAAAATCACATTGACCTGGGAACGGGTGCGGACAGGGAATAACCGTTTTGTTATTATGGGTACTGGGGCGGTTACCCGTTACCCACCCCATACTCGTTCCATTTATTTTTAACTATATTTTGATTACATTTTTCATATTATTTGTCCAACGACTACTAAAGATAGATATTTTTCTCTTTTCATTGTTGTATATACATGGATGTGCTAATTATAATGTATGAAAGAAAGTTCATAATAGATTTTAATAGTCTCATTTGGTAATTACGGAGTATCGCATTTTTCTTCATTAATTTTAAGTTTAAGTATTTTTAGGTTCAAAATAATCTAGGTAATCTTCTTTCTCTTGCAAGAAACTTTTTTGTGATGTCTCAGGTCTAGAGTCATCTAGGCAACGTCATTTTTCACCTTTTAAGATATTAATTTTTATATAAAATATCAATGTCTCATTTAATAAAGCAGTTATCAGCGGTTATACCCGTTATCCTTTGGGGCAGTTATGATTTGCATAAAAATTACATGTTGGGTAATGGAGCGGGAAATTATCCAACGGGGTAGGTGTCATTATATGCATAATTGTCCCTATCCGCCCCGTTGTCATCTCTAATTACAATGGAATTTCTCAAATGTTCACCCTTGTCTTCCCGCACTAATCCAGAATTCCGCAGTGGAATATCCTCTCAGCATTTGTCTGCTCCCTGTACAAGACTATAAATGATACTCCCTCCGTCCCGCTAGAAGGTCCCCGTTGATGGTTTATGATGTTTGACTGACGATAAAACAACTCAATCCATGTACACACTCTGATTATTTTTAGTACATAAAATTTACATATTCAGAAACTACATTAAATCCGCTACAAAGCTTGATAAAAATGTAAATTTGATAAAAAATGATATATAATGTAAAAGATTAAAAATGGTTTAAGTTGACCATGTGAATAGTGGATGAGAATCTTCTAATGGGACGGAGGTAGTATAAGACATTGTAATACAATATAGATATACTCCGTATTTAGCTCAATAACGTGTTCAAACTTCTCGAGTTGAGTTTTGACTATAATGTGTGGACTCCAATTCCGATACAATGTGTGGACTCCAATTCCGAAACAAGCAATGAATGATAGAAATGGATCCACAATTTCTGAACATTGTACATCTAGATGACATGGAGTCGCTAATAGAATGGATTTAATTGCCACACTAGTCTTTTACCCGTGCGTTGCACGGGGTGACGTAATAACAAAAATTATCTAAGAAATTGTCGAATAGATTCAAGGTGTACGAAAGTGCACATAAATGATTTCCATTGTTCACTTTATTTCAAATTGAGTTTGAGCAAACATCAATCATTCTAACATCCTAGCATACTACACATACACATACAAAGTGGTAGAACTCCACATACACCTTCATGTTCAAATTAACTCTCAAGAAAGCAAATGCTCAAGCAATGACCGAGTGTGAGACCTGTCTTCTTCCGCGAATAGAAATCGATTAAAACTTAGCCCAATTTAATATGTAATCTTTCTATTTAAAACACTTACTTGTAGCATATATCAATATATGTCAATGCCCAGAGTCGTCGTATTCATAGCATCACAATTGATTATTCACACATATTTTGCCGTCCCCAATTTAAGAATGGGGAAAAGATAGCCCCAAATTTGTATGTAAATTTGCATGAAACTCTTCTGATGATTTCATTTGATTGAAGAAATAAAACATTATCACATCAAGTAAAGAAAAGATGTAAATGAATGTGATAACTTGTTATGAATATTTCACTCAGATGCCACTTAGTGATCTACTGAACTCATACAAGCAAAATACACCTCTACTCTTTTTTTTTCTTTTGTTCTGAACAAAGACGGCAAAGAACTTCTGAGAGTATAATGACTTGATAAAACAGAATAGGAAGCATGTAGCTAAGACGCGCGTACAAATCTGAGCTCGATTATGCATTTCCCGGTTGTTTGTGATAATGATATCAAATTTATCAAGCTACCCTTCAATAAACCAAGAAAAAATAGATGAACGAAACTACCTTTCAAATAACTACCCTTCATAACAGTATTACACCTCCTTGACTTCCCCTGCCTTCTCCTGCTTCTCCTCCACCAGGATCTCAAAACCAAAACCGGGAAAGTCTTGCCGATGCCGAGAGAACTCGTGAAGTAGATCTTCCCGGTGGGCGGATCGTCCACCGAGATCTCGCTGATGGTGACCCACAGCAGCAGCTCCTTAGTGGTGCTGGGGTTGTATCCATGCCAACATCGATCCATGAGTCGGAGGCATCACTCATCTTCAATTTTCTCTTACCTTTTCCTAGATTCTTCTCAGCAAGTTCACAATTTTACTCCTCCTTCACCTCATATTCCCTAACATCTCAAAAAAAAAAGAGTTCCAAAATCATGAAAAATGGGTCCCATTCTCATGATAGTAATAAAGATCTAGTCATGAAAATTCAAAGCACATTTGTGAACACACACTCAAAATTAATGTTTCTGATGATAAATGTTTTTTGTTCACCACACTTTTTCAGCTTACTACTTTTAGAGAAGAAAAAAACAGGCAGGCTCCACTGTGTCAGCGATAGAGAAGAGAAGATTTGATGATGGGCACCAGGCGTGATTTTTTAACCAGCTTCGTATTCTACTTCAGGTAATGGGGTGCTTTGAGAAAATTACCCATGATATTTGCATTATGATGGAATTAAACATATTCGGGTTAAGTGGTTAACATGCTAAGAATACCGGTAGGTTAATTTATTTTCTAAGAAAGGGAAGCTCTATTTGAAGCCTTTGTCCTAAAATGTGGTCTTGAACTATTAGTGCAATTATGTCATTTAATAACAATCATCATAGTAATTAAAACGGATGCACTCTGTCCAGAAGAGTAGTACTCGGTATGTATTAGTGTATTACACTAAAACTGCAATTTTACGCATTTCCAAATCATAGCCCATGGGAAAGAATGAAATTGCACTTTTGACATCAAAGCCACCTAGCAAGGCAATGGAAATTCGTATTCAGGTTGCATAACGAAAGGCTAATTGCTTTATCATGCCAGTTTACCGATGGGAAGTAGTACAATTTGAAGTGAAAACTCCAATATATTCACTCCTTAAACTAAAACTTTTTACCTCATCCTTTATTATCCATTAAAGCATTAACGAAAAAAGTTTTATCACTTCTTGTATGTTCCTAACTCATATCATATCTAGGAAAAAATCCACTTGTGTAATATACAAAAAGCCACACAACTTAATTAGTTAATTATAAACTTAATATTCTCAAATCATAGCCCAAGATGAAAGAAATAAATTGCATTTTTACATCATAGCCATTGGCACATGATATCCATTTTTTTAGACTTCTGAACCCCTAG